GGCGTTTTCGAGTAATCGGTGAACATACATAAAAAAAAAGAAAAAAAAAAGATTCCGACGAATTGAGAACCTCCTCCTATTTGGAAATCGGTTAAAAAAATATTTAAAGAAATATTTTTTTGTATTAATATAGGTATGTAATTATATATTTTTCACTAATTTGCAATCCTGTATTGTTATTTTGTTTTAATAATTTAATAATGTATTGTCTATATAATTAAGCACTACTTATGCATACCTACTCACTAGCTAGTAACTACTATCACGTAAAAATCAAACTAAATAAACGTTTGAAAAATTTAGTAATTTTGTGGGGTTTTATTGCACTAACATACTAATATGAAAATATAATAAAATTCTAGTGTTTCACAGAAGTCACTGTACACATTTAACATGAGTGAGTATACGCTTCAATTTAGCCTTGCCAAGCAATTAATAGCCTTTTTGATAACGGTCAATAATCTAAAATGTAGTTTAGTAGTAGGTAAGTCAGAAGTCAAAAAAAGTTAAAATATATAATATAAACCTTTCATTTCTAAGCATATGATACACCACTGACTATCTATTTGCTTGTGTACGTAATTAAAAGTTTAAGCAATTTTCGATCCGTGAATTTGCGGTGTAATGATAACTTGCGCTTTGCCCTCACTTGCTCGTTTTGGGTCACTAGCTACTTCATGTGTCATAAAACGGTAACGAAACTTTAGATTCACAATTATATAGCACTTTCACAACTTGTATTTAACAATTAAGCACTTAGTTTCTTAATTGTTTGCGTATTTTAATGAGAATAATAAAAATAATGTTACAAATAAAAAGCATTATTAATTTTATCGGTAAGAGTACAAAATATAAATTAAGGTGTTGGAGACTTGGAGCATAAACATATTGGTTGTGTAGTTTATGTAAAATTATTAACTTCGGATAGTTTTGTTAATTTAATATATAAGTTGATATTGACGTAGAATAAGAACAAAATTATTGTATTGCAATTTTATAAACAGTAGGTATGTAAAAAATATTATTATTGAAAGAGCAACTTTTGAGATTAGGTACCGCTCTTTAGTAGAACTACCGTTCGGGCCGAGTTGGACTTTTTTAGTGACTTACATACCGACATTAATTTAAATTCTAAAAAATAATAATTGACAAGTCTATTTAAATAAAGTATATTTTGATTTGATTTATAGGGATCATTAAAAACATATTGTTAGTGCAATCTAGCGGTAAAGGACCTTATTCTCTTCTTTCCTGACTGACGACAGCGAATCGCACTGTTTGAAAATAACACTAGATTTTCCTTGAGTATCAGGGATCCTCTATTTCCTTCAAACGCTCTCTCCCTTTCTCTTTGGGTCTAGAAGTCTTACAAAGTTTCTTTAAAATTTTATATACAACAGATTATTTTAAGATATTTCTTTTATTTCAGGTAACACTTACTGTGCATTTAAGTACACTTTTGACTAGTAGTATTTATTTCAGCCTTAAATTTTCAGCTGATTTTTGAATTGATGAACGCTCATTTTTTCCTTAAAAATAATTAAATCCACTTTATATATCCACTATATGCACATTGCACGTGCGTTTTAAATGTTTATTAAAATATTATTAATTATAATTAAGTAATTTATAAAATTAATTAAAACTAGTAGGAAAACAATCATGAATCCTAACTCATACTGTATAGGCCTTAATAACTTTAAATAGAAGTAGTGGACTGTATATAATATAAATTACGTATAATCATATTGAGGCTATATAGGAGTGTCAGTAGACCAGCGCTCAGGTAGGCACAATGACCGCGGTGAGATGCGCTCGCAGCCGGGCTTGGACCCCCGCCCACGCGGCGCATACGTCACGCGTTGGATATATAATAAAAACTAGCAAAACCCGCGGCTTCGCCCGCGCTAAAACTACAAAAAAATTCAAAAAAAGGTAGTTTCATACAAACTTTCATGCCCTATTTTACCCCCTTATAGGATGAATTTCGAAAAATGCTAAAACACGTATTTATTTAATTTAATTTTATTTTATTTAAGAGTATAATACCAAGTTTCAAGTAATTCTGATCATAAATATTTTTTTATTGTATTATAACGTGTTATCCCGTGGGAATTAGATAATCTCCCGCGGTGAAAAGTAGCCTATGTCACTCTGCAGCCCTCTATCTCCACACAAAAAATCACGCCAATCGGTCACTCCGTTTCGACGTGAAAGAAGGACAAACAAACACACTTTCTCATTTATAATATTAGTATGGATATCGGCCAAGTGCGAGTCGGACTCGCGCACTAAGGGTTCCATACTATTATCTATAAAACGGCAAAAAATCGTTGTATGGAAGCCCCCCTAAAGCCACCCTTAAATCTATATATATAAAAGAAAGTCGTGTTAGTTAACACTATTTATAACTCAAGAACTGCTGAACCGATTTGGCTGAAAATTAGTGGGGAGGTAGTTTAGAACCAGGAGACAGATATTTTTTTCATCCCGTTCGATTGCGTGTCCGTTGTGACGTGACATAAAACTCAAGAACGGCTAGATATTTGAATTTTTGGATTTCTTAGTTAGTCCGGAATATGATAATAAATATTAAAACATCAGAAAAATTTACGAAAAAAAAAATTTGTATGGCTAACGCTGGCTAATAACAATTTATATCTATTTAAAACGTACCTAGCGACGAACCCGAGCGAAGCGAGGGTGAGCCGCTTGTATTTGTTTTATTTTAATTTATTTTTTGATCTATCTATATATATAAAAAAATTGTAACTAAGCCGAATCTGTACATTAAATTTTTTTGGAAAATCTTATTGAAATAGGCATTATTATCGATACAGAGGCCGAATCTATAGTTTTTAGATTTTTTGTCTGTCTGTCTGTTACCGCATCATGGAAAAACCACTTAAGGGATTTTGATGAAATTTAGTATGATGATAGCTGATAATAGCTGATTGGTTGACCCGAACCAACATATAGGATACTTTTTACTGCGGGAAAAAAATATGATCTCTGAGAAATCGATACTAAGCGTTAAAACGTAAGTAGGAAAGAAGAAACTATTTCTTCGGATTATTTCGCGGATAATCGCGAATAATAAAAGATAGTTTTATTTAAAATGTCAAATATTCGCGTAAATCTAAGAAAGTATAGTAGTATTTATATATAAAGTGTATTCACTTACTACTATAACTAAATATTCTGTGAATATTTCAGTCGTCTACCTGTTGCCGTTATCAATATCGAGCAAAAACGAGCAAAGAAATCACGTTTGTTGTATGGGAGCCCCCTTAAGTATTTATTTTATTCTGTTTTTAGTATTTGTTGTTATAGCGGCAACAGAAATACATCATCTGTGAAAATTTCAACTAACTATCACGGTTCATGAGATACAGCCTGGTGACAGACAGACGGACGGACAGCGGAGTCTTAGTAATAGGGTCCCGTTTTACCCATTGGGTACGGAAGCCTAATAAAAAACAAAGATATATTGTTTGCTCGACACTGCTGTCCCTAGATAAAAACAAAAACACTTATGCAATAACTTTATTGGTTATAAAATGTAATATATAACTTGTTCTTATATACAAAGATGAAAGAAAGTTTCAACGAAACAATCAGATCAAATGTTAATGTTAAAAATAACTAGTGCCCTTTTCATAGTAACCATGAACAAAACATTTATGATTTATGTCGAAATAACAAATTTTGCAACAAAAAAAATGTGTTATATATTAATTTGTTACAAATGATCTGAGTATGTCTACAAAAGTATTCAAAATTTGATTCACACATATAATATTGTCACAATTATGATTCAAACTCAACTCTATTGTGTGATTTAAATTGAATTACTGATATATATAGTAAGTAATCTTATCAGTATCAAAATTTAATCATGTGTAAGTTTCATGTAATAGAGAATTATATGCATGATTTTTTTTATAGAATAGCTTACATCGATAAATAATAATTGAAAAAAAAATCTAACTCAAGAAACTTAATTTTAGTATTTAAAAAATATCATACCGATACGGATAGTTTAAACGCTCACCATTTCGCGCCTTGCCGTGACGTCACAGTATGATATACATAGAAAAATGACTCAATTTGTAATTAATACAAAATCACTAATCGCTCTGTTATGTTATACTCTGACGTCACATTCGTTCTGACCAATGGCGCTGCGTTTCAATTACTTTGAAATTCCCACCTATATTTGCACTTTTTAATAATTATTTTCTTAATCATAAATAAATGACATAAAAAATATTAATATAGGCTTAATTCAAAAGCAATAAAGCTTATAAAAAAAATATTTCACCTTTATTTAAATCACACGCATATTCCCTATTACGTAACTGGTGTTTTTGTCTAGTAAAAAAAATAAGTGACTGTTATTGTTCATAATATATACCTAAATATTTATTTACTATATGATTTTTATTTGTTATAATAATTTTGTTTTCGAAATATTTTAGGGCTAAAATATTGAAATATTAACATAACTTTTTTACGTATTCCGCATAGTTGGATTTGTTATTAACTTTAAAAAAACTTCAACGAAATAACAATTCAAAACCCAACATATTCTACAATGCCATATAACATAACATCAATTAGGTTATATCAGTTTACACATATAAAAAAACTGAATACATTTAGTAATAACACAGTATAAAATCCATACAGTATACCATCGCGAATGATTTTAATGGAAATGCTGTCAAATGCAAGGGTCAAATCAAAGTGCCACCTAGTGATAAATATCACTTTTCCCGATTGTCATATAAAATTAAGTAGTCACAATCGGTATCGTGTCTTCATTCTACGTGACAATAGCGAAGCAATCTGTGCTCAACTGTCACGCTTTGAAGCCATTAAGAAGAAAATTGAATTTACAATCGATATCGCATCATTTTCGTCTCGCCTCATACGCCCCGCCCTAAAGTGCGGATGGTCTGCATGGATTATTAAACTGTAAAATAAAAAACCATTCACATTCGAACATGGAATTTACCGGCTTTAGTGACATATTTGACTCCTTTAAACGGTTTATATTTAGCGCCGTACATATCCAAACGACTGACGCGCAGCCCGCTCACCGCCAGCTGTGGGATCGTGAAGTGCACGTTGATGCTGGGGTTCGCGCCAGTTGTGTCTGCGCCTGTGGCTACTGACACCTGGAATTATTCATTGATTATTATCGGACAACTAACAGTTAGCCAAAGTTTTAGTAAGATAGACATACTGGTACGCCAGAAACGGCAAGCGTAGGAGAGGTCGTCATAAAAGTAGGCGGGAGGACAAGTTGCGGGAAACACGAGTCCGTTCTGAACATTAGTGGCTCTAAATAGATCTCAATACTGTAAGTTGGAGGACTTTGCCAATAGGCACAAGGAGATCAGAGACATTAACTAGAATTTTTAAATGTGTCACCTATTTATAATATTTATAATCAATTTGTGGTCTTATTCTTTAATTGTGACTCTGCCTATTATTTTGAATTACAGAATTGCGAGAAACTTATATTTTATTAAAAGGTATATACATACAGTGGAATTATGTCCGACTAGCATTAACCATATAGAAAATCAGGGATTCTGCTTACCCTCGCTTCACTTGGGTTCGTTGCTAGTGAAAAATTAAAACAAATCTATCCTACGGAAACCGTACATTTTTCCGGGATAAAAAAAGTAGTCTATGTGCTATTCCGTTCTGGCGTGATCGAGTAACAAACATCCAAACTTTCGTATTTATATAATAGTAAAATTAATGACTGTAAAAAAATAACCACAACTTACACTTCCTCTAATATTAGGCAGTTTGGGCAGTTCTATGCGTCCTATGTCCCATAGTAGCACCTTGCTCACTGGGTCGTATGAATATTTCCCCTGATTCGCCGTCAAAGAACAATTGAGAACACATTTTGGCATACAAATTTCTAATGCTACATCTGAAACAAATAAAAGATGATTGAAATTATTTTTATGACTTACATTGCAATTCACAAAAAAATATAGAAACCCTTTCAAAATAAATGGTTTCATTGAAAGTAAGATTTAATCGATTTATTTCGTTGCGACAATACTACATTTTTTTGTAATTAGTTTTTTTGTTTACATTTACCCATATTAAAATGTGAAATGAATGTGAATAATGATTCAATGAGAGTGAATTTGAAGTCCAAAATGAAAGTAGAAATATTTTAATTAAAATTTCTTAAAGTAATTTCTGGTCTATACAAAATATTGTTTTTAAGTGTAATGACCTAATGAAAATCTTAATAAAGATATGACACAATCAATAACTACAAGTAGTACAAACTTTCTAAAGTCCTTCCCATAGTTTGTTTAGGTCCAACAGTCAAGTCCAGTCTGCCCTGGTCTCCATTAGATCTTAAGGTAAGATTGTGTCGCACATATATGGGGATGGCCACCACACTTTGTGATCCAATATGGTAGGACATCAACCGGAAATTCCCATCTGGTGGTATAAATGATAGTATTCGCTCAGACTGAAAAATAAAATAATTATATATATTAAGACCAAATCACACCAGTACTAAACAAGTTTTGACTTAAGTTTAACTTTTTAGTAATTTTAAGAATCATAGTGGTCATAAGTTAGAATTTTCCTTATTAAATTTTTACATATATGTATATACATCCATACTATCCATACTTAATATTAAAAATGTGAAAGTGTGTTTGTTTGTCCTTCTTTCACGTCGAAACGGATTGACGGATTAGCGCGATTTTTTGTTTGGAGATATTTGGAGGACTGGAGAGTTACATAGGCTACTTTTAAGCGCTAACGCTACGCAACGCTATAAATACAACTCAAAAATATATTTATGATCAGAATTACTTGAAACTTGGTATTAATGCTCTTTAATACAATTAAATAAATACCTGTTTTAGCATTTTTCGAAATTCATCCCATAAGGGGGTTAAACAGGGATGAGTTTTTTTAATATACAATAAATAAATTCTATTCTAAATTGAAAATGTCTTACTCACCTCCCATCTCTTAAATCTCACACAAGGATGAAATGAAACATCATCAAATAGCCGAGGATTAACAAAAGTAAGAGTCAAATCGGGCATACCACTTAACTTGATACAACAATCAATCTGAAAATATATATAGATATTAATCTAAATAAGATGCATAGCAAAAACATTTTTTTCAACTTCAACAACAACTCTTTTGTTTTTGATTATTACTTATTGTACTAATAAAGTAAGCTTACAAGTAATCATTGTACATTGTTTTACATAATAATTTTAAAAACTTAAAAAAATTATAACACTGGATAAAGTAATAAATATATTATTATTAGCTATTGAACAGAACAGTATGAAATTTTTCTGTTATCTTTAAGTGTCTAAACTGTAAACTCACATAACCCTGTATTTCAGCAGAAACTGTTGCACCACTTTTGTCAATTATTGCATCTACTTCTTCAATAACATCAAAGTATGCTTCATTATTAGCATATTTGACACCAGATCTTCTCCATGGTACATTAGAAAGCTGGCCAGAAGGTAATATTGAAGAAACACTAAATATAAGCAATAAAAGGATATTATACAATGTGCCTCATTGAAATGAGATTACTACTACTATAATACAAGACTACTGACTTACATTGTATTAGTTTAAATGCAGCAATAACATCAGTCATTTGGCATATTTTTCAAACAAACCTAAATTCATAGAGCAATGATTACTTTAATTAATAAAGCAATCATTCTATCTAGAATATTTATTTTAATATATTCTATACAAAAATAATCAACTTTAAAAAACGTAGCAGATTTTTTTTTATTTGGTTAAAAACGGTAAAAAATAATAAAACATTAAATGAAATAGAACTCACTTTGATTTTCCAGTAACTGTGTTAGCAATTGTCCGTAGTATATTTGGAGGCTTAATAAGCTCTTTAAGAATGTTACTCTCAGTAGCTAGTGGAAAACCATTATCTAACATCTCATCCAGTAGCTAAAATTTATTATTAATCAATTAATATAGAAAATTGTCTTTATTTGCAAATTCAATAGCAATCAAAAGTTTTGAATAAAATGATATGAAATTTTCTACCTCATAAACAACCACATAATTCTCCTTAATAATAGTTTCTGTACAATCTGAAAAATAATCCTGTAAAAATATTTAAATTTATTCAGTCAATTTAATCCATTCCATTAAAATTCATATATTTCAAGCTATTGGATTATTTTACTAACCTGGAATGTATCAACAACTCTGTGTAGAAATTCAATAACAAAAAGAGGAGCAACTTCCTGTTTACTGACCGCTACCAGTGCCACCCCACCCCTTTGAATAGATATTAAGTAATGATGAGGAGCAGCTAGCACTGGAGGAACATCCTAAAATTAGACAAATATTTTATTAAAAGTATAACTTGTTTTTTATTATTCATACATGTAAAACTTTATAAACAATAATTAGGATCATAGAAACTACTCACATTAGGAGATGCCCTTTGAGCTTCTAAATAATAGTCACATACCGATCTTGGGATAACACTACGCCAATGTTTTTCGAGAAACACATCCCTGTAGTCGAATTGTTTGAGTTAAAAAAAAAGTTATAATCCAAAAACTCTTTAATTGATACTGAACCCAATATATTTTAATAAATAAGAGTATAATGCTAAATAACTTAAATTTAATAACAAGTTAAGCAGTAAACTTACCCAGAAGGATTTATGATAAATAAACTATGGATCATCTTAAATCAAACAATATGTTATAGCTATCTCTAAAACATTTTATGTAAATAAACCTCCACCTATTATCCTTGTTGTAAATAAATGTTTTCCAAGCAATGTTCTTCGTTATAATTACAAATAGGGTAAAATTTTATTTTCAATAAATTATAAGAAAATGATCTATGAAGCAAAGTGAAATTGTAATTTGTAACTATTTGTCAATTGAGATTTGAGTTTGATTTTGACATTTGACAGACACATTGCATTTTTAGAGGACTTCTAATTCGTGTCTTCTCCGTTCTACGCATTATTGGTGAAGAAATTATGCTCAACTGGCACGCCTAAAAATAATTATTAAATTGACTCCTTATTTTGATTACTTTATAGGCTTTGGAAACGTTTTCCAAATCTCACGTAGGTATAATAAGAATATGTACAAGGTTTCAGTCTTCTATCTAGTACATAGTGTAATTTTTCTAGTACATAATATTTTTTAACCCCCGACGCAAAAAGAGGTGTGTGGCATTTTGGCGTATGACTCCATTAAGTTTTTTACTTTTTATGTTCCTTAAACTCTAAGTATTTTTTGCGTAGGGATTTTTTGCGTAGGGCTTAAAAAGGTCGATAGGTCGGTAGCGTGCTCACAGGCTTATTTGTGACCCTACGCTGGTAAAAGCTAACTTACAAAGCCTCGATCACCGACGAAGGGTTGCCAACCTCTGTGTATTCTATAGGTTACATTTCGGAGAGTGTGCGCAGGAACTACACGACTTAATTCCTCCATCCCCTTTCCACCATCGGACACCCGACGAACGGCTGGTCTCCATCCTTATGTCGTGGATTTTCCATCCGTCCGGACGAAGCGTTTCGCAACGTCATTCATTATACGTGCGTCTAAGGACTGGAACAACCTGCCGGCGCGGTGTTTCCGTCCGATTATAACATGGGTGTCTTCAAGGCAAGAGTACTGAATTAGTGCGACGTACCATCTACGACTACGTTACCACTTACTTACCATCAGGTGGAACGTAGTCAAGCACTAATTAATACTATAAAATAAAATAAAAATAGAAGTTCTCAATAGTATATGTCTCTCTCCTAAGGTACACTCGCTATAACTATTTTCATTACTATATACTACTGTTTTATTATACGTTATTTATTCTATCTATAAATATAATAATACTGTAAAAGTCAAATATCTGTACATAGAAAAAAAATGCTAAAAACCGAGTCAGTTATCTTCTTACATGCCGTAAGAAGAAAAATAGAACAAATCCCGATTTTTGTCAATTTTTTTGTTTCTCTGTCTGTTTGTACGGGCTAATCTCCGAAACTTAAATGAAATTTTGCATGGTCGGTCAATATGTAAGATACTTTTAATTCCGGAAAATTAAAAAAATCCCGTGGTATAGTTAAAAAACTATAGTAACTTATACAACTTAGTACAACAACCTAAGCACCTAATTTAGTATTTGGCATGCTGATACCTTATATTGCCGGTCAAACAACAGGTTACTTTTCATCCCGGAAAAATGAACAGTTCCCGTGGGAACTACTGTAGTAGTTCCCACGGGAACCGTTCATTTTTCTAGAGATCTATCTCTATTAGTGTTTTTCTAGAGGCGAACCCGAGCGAAGCGAGGGTGAGCCGTATTCTATACATATAATAAAACTCTGAATCGAATCTGTACCTACTAATTACAATATTTGGATAATCCCATTGAAATAGTCATTAATAGCGATACGGAGGCTGAATCTATAGTTTTTAAAATTGTTGTCTGTCTGAGAACACATCACGAGAAAGCCGACTGAACAGATTTTGATGAAATTTGGTATGATGATAGTTGGGTATCCGGGTCAACATATACGATACCTACTTTTTAATGCGGCAAAATATCTAATCTCTGAGAAATCTATACTATCCGTTAAAACTTAAAACAATCGTAGGGACGAGCTCGAATAGAACGAGGGTGAGTCGCTAGTGTTTTAATAATTTCTTTTTTAACAATAAACATTAAAAGAAAGCTGGCCAAAACTAAAAAACTGTAAATAAAATATATAAGGACCAATGGGACGTATACATACACGTAGACTCGCAGCAAGCATAAAACATGATGTCTTCGAATGCATAATATTATTTTTCCTCGTTAACTTGCTACCTTCTTTTTAGTTGATTTTTACGCAGGTTAGGTTTGCATTATGTATAATGTAATTTTTATTTGTATTTGCAGGGGTTTTGTATTTATATATATGCGCATCATTTCATTAGATTACTACTCGCTTCACGTCGAAAGAAAACGCGAGGAAACCTAAACGTCTGAGAGAACCTGTATGTTTTCTAAAGTAAACTTGGCCCGCGACCCTATGAGTATGTAACCCTTTTTACCCGCGTACAATGGCGTGATCCCTGTTATATTGAGGCCTATAACTAGCAAGAGGAGTAGGCATTTTAATAGCAATACAAGGTTAATGTTAATACTCGGGCTCGTCCCTATAATACTTTTTAACGGTATGGAATAAATATAATTATAGGTACTACATATTATATAGCCTGCATCCTTCCTCAATCAACGGGCTTTCTAACGCAAAAACAATTTTTCAAATCGAATTAGTAGTTCCTGAGATTAGCGCGTTCAAACAAACTCTGCCTCTTTATAATATTAGTACAGATCATATAATACTATACTAGTAGTTACTGGGATAACATTATTATAATAGACAAGGTCAAAAAATATAAGAATAGAACTTTTTATAAAAATAATGACATAATATATCTACAATAATAATGTTATTTTTTTTTCATTACAAGTTTTATTTATATTAATTTAAATTAAGGTGTGCCTTCATATTACTGTCCTTAGAATATAGTTTAGAACTCAGTTCCTAATCTTCAGCCATGTTTACTGTCATAGAAGCAATGCAATAAAACTTATGGATTAAGTTATTTAAAATCTAACTATATCTAGAAATGTAATATATCTTGATACTAATTAATGTAAAATGTTATATAGTTATATTTAGTAACATACTTTTGAAAGTCCTTAAGTCTAAAGCTGCTTTTGATGAATCTACTTAGTAGAAACAAAAAGATACTAAAGTAAAAAAGTAGAATTTTTGCAAACATGTTCTGATGCTACACTAAACAATCATATTGTATTGATTTAGAATTTTGTATATAATATGTTAACCTTTAAAAGTATGCGGAGCCACAGGTGGCTCGGTTAACAATTAAGTCCTTAGAATTTAACCGCAAGGTGTTAATGAAAGTATAACAGACTAACATATCGATGGGTGAAAGGCTATTTGGTTTAAGCAACATTTTCTTAACTTTACAGGAGAGCCAATTTAATGATTTTTTCCCAACACAAATCATTAAATTGGCTCTCCTGTAAAGTTAAGAAAATGTCGCTTAAACAAATAGCCTTTTACCCTTCAACATTCAAACTTTAAAACTATTAGATTACTTTCAGATCAAAATAATTATTTATATTTACTTATAAGTTATAGTATTCAAATATTGTTGTCTTCAAATATTGTCACAGGAATTTTATTTTGTTCTTTGAATATTTCAGAAATTGTAAGTATACAATCTGCATGTATTTAAACATTAATTATCAAACATTCAATACATTTACAAGACAATTTTGTTATATATGCAATCTAAATAATATTATTAATGAAAATGAGAACATATATTTAAATTACTTTATTAAAATAATTGTTGTGAATATAACAATGTACTCTACATTGTCTTTATTTGTAAGAAATTGTACTCATTATTATTATATTAATTACTTTCTTAAAACCCTTTTATAGTAGAAAACAGTAAACAATTATGATTAAATAAAATTTGTCAATACTAGTTTCTTTGTAAATATTATTAAAAATAATTCAGCAAATAAATAAAACACAACTTTGTCTTACATGTTTATTTAGTCCTTTTCTTAAAAAACACTTAACGGTTGGATTTAGCAACACGTTCAAGCTCATCCTTTTTCTTGATAGCATATGAATTTGATGAGCCCTTCGCAGCATTAATTAGCTCATCAGCGACACATTCAGCAATGGTCTTGATGTTTCTGAATGCTGCCTCTCGTGCTCCTGTGCACAACAGCCAGATAGCCTGGTTTACACGACGTAGAGGAGATACGTCTACGGCTTGACGACGCACTGTACCAGCACGTCCGATCCTAGTAGAATCTTCACGAGGTCCAGAGTTAATGATAGCTGTCACAAGTACTTGAAGAGGGTTCTCTCCAGTCAGGAGATGGATGATTTCAAAAGCGTGTTTGACAATACGCACAGCCATCAATTTTTTGCCATTGTTGCGACCATGCATCATCAGAGAGTTGGTCAGACGTTCAACAATAGGGCACTGAGCTTTTCGGAATCTCTTGTGTGCGTACCTACCTGCCGAGTGCGGCAAGTATTTAGCAAACTTTTCTTTAACAGAAATGTGATCTTGCAGGGACATATCGGAAACCTGAACATCATAACAGCTCCACCTTCCGAATAATTTAATTTCGGGAATGTCAGCTGGTTGTGGCAATGGCATGTTGTCGATAGCCATGCTGCCCGCTTCCACGCCATCATCGTTCCAGTTTTCCTCAACCATTGTGAAAACCTAAAATTGAATATATATTGTCACAAATACACTTTTATGATACGTTAAATGTAAGAATTTACAAGAACTTATATATATTTAACCCACCTTTTCACAAACTGTTAATTATAACCTCGCGATGTCAAAAGAACACGAGAAAAAGGAAGCTAGCATTAGGTTAAATTATTGACGTTGGCAACATTGAAAATATTGCCACTTTACTAACAAGTAACATAATAGGACTTGTTTTCACTTTATTATCTTTTATGCTTGTTATACACAGTTAGTAGATGTGCTAAGCAACATTCTTAATTTTTGTGCAAAACAAATATATTATACATATTTCAATCTTTAGTTCTATTTAAATAAATTTACTACATCTATTGGCAATTATTATGCTAGATAATAACGTATAATTTTAATTTCTTTTAATTCATTGTTGTTTGCTTTAAAATTATTACGATACGATTGGTTGGGATTTTTTTTTAATTTTTAGGTTTAATCAATCCTTTTTGGTGAATAATTTCTCAAAAATTAAAAAGAAAAATTTGTCATAAAGTTAGCCGGAAAATTAATATCAACTATATCATTGTAATATAAATTATGTTGTAAGACTCATTTTTTTCAAATGAAATAATTTATTAGTTTTCGAATACTTTGCTAAATACAAATATACTGTGTACTCGTAAAGCTTAATTTTTTTTAAATATGTGTAACTTTATGAGCATCCCTATTTCTTTACTTGAAACCCATGTTAATATATTATATAGTATAATACTACTAGTTGAAATTGACAAGAAGATAGTAGCAATTATTAAATTTAGGAAATATGGACAAAAAAACGCTGCCAGTACTTTGTTATTCATTGTTGTTTTCAGGGCTCAACCACACGGGCAATTTGCAAAGGGCCACTACCAAAGCACTCTCACCAGGATTTTTTAATTATCATTCATATTTTAAATATTATATGTTGATGTTCTCCTAGCCGATTCCGGCCACGGCGGCCAATCTCAATGAGATTAGCCAACTGCGCAGGAGATATTATAGTGCTTAAGTGTACGCGCAGACACAAGTGCACTCTCTATTCCTATCACTCTCATACTCCGGTGGGACGACCACTCGACACGACCGGTGAGAGTTAAGGCGCAGGACCGACGGCTTTACGTGCTCTCCGAGGCACAGGGGTGAAACACCGCCCACTTCCCAACTCCGGGCTGTTACTGAGACTTACTATACAGGAAGACTCAATAACTAAACTTGGCCCGACCGGGACTCGAACCCAGGACCTCCGGGTGAGCAGCCGTACATGCTAGCCACAACACCACCGAGGCAGTTATATGTTACTAATATGATAAATGTGAAAGTTAAGATGGATGTTTGTTACTTAATCTCGCCAGAACGGCTGAACACATCTGGATGAAATTTGACACAGAGATAGATTATAGTCTGGAATAGTACATAGGCTTTTTAAAATGTACAATTCCTGTGGGATAATTTTTTTTTGTTTTGGGAGAGTGAGCTAGTAAGTAATATAATATGATTTTAGGTATGTTATAAGAAATTGGACGACCATAACTCATACACTGAGAGTTTCAAAGTAGGTAGCACTATCGTTTAATATAAATAATTTATTACGTTAAAAATAAATTTAGCCATCTTATTAATGGCATAAATAAGTTTGTATTTCATTGTACTTGTATGAAAAATAGTTAAATACGCGGCCGAACATATCTTGAAAACTGCAAAATTTTTCATTGAAATTTGTTTTTTTTTTTTATAATTTCATACCCCATAACTCAAGTTACTCAGAGGGAGCGATGTGTCTCTGCTATTTTTTTAAAATTGTTAACAGATTTGTCCAACTATGAGCTAATGACACGGTAATGTTACATACAGTATTCCATCTTCATAGAAATGGTCGGAAATCGAGTTATACCTACGCGCGTCGCGTTCGGTATACACTCAGTAGACAACCATGCGGGGCTGCCACATCGTATAATTTAATACGAAAATTTTATAAAATGGTTATGTTATGTAATTTTTATAATTGGATACAAAAATTAACATCGCTATTATGTCAAAGAAAAAAGTATCGAGACATCGTATGCTTAAAAATAAAAACTAATTAATTAAATTAAAAATAAAAATTAAGGTATTTTTTATTAAACTTTTTATCCGAATATGGATTCTTTATACTATTAAATTTAACAACAAAAGCTTTTTGTACGTCTCAGTCGAGGTGCAAATATTTTACAATCTCAAATTTATAAGTCACATACCACCCTTATACATTTGAGATTTTTTAATTAAATCTACTAATAATATTTTTTAAATAAAAAATATAATATTTGAAATCACAAAATTAGAAAGAAACTCAACTATGTAGATGAAATTAAAATACTGGCCGGCGGGTACTCGGGCAGCCCTGTCGTGTGGGTACGTGCCGCTCGGCTGTAGGTATTTATCTCAAGGACAGGCCCGGGTTGCAATACTGTATGCATTACATTACCATGCTAATGGTGAGGTACCTACTTAAACCCAAGTTGACAGCTACTCCATTAGTATTTGATTAAAATGGCTGTGACATAAATACATAAAGCTTGACATGACAAAATTTATGGAGGGTAGAGGTAAAGAGAATCGTCTTACATCGGAAACAAGTAACTCACCTATATAGCGCTAGCGTAGCAAGTAGAAGTGATATGAATTTAGCAGTTTTAAACGGGGTGAAGTGAAAAAAATATATTAAGTTATATATAAATTATAATGAATTATCTTAAACTTAATATTAAATAATAATAAGATACTTGAAAATAATATGTAATTATGTTTTGTATCGGTGTTTGCCTATGTTAGAACTATTTTGAAAAGTGCGTCATACAAAGCGGAAATCTTTCTTTCCTTGTTTAATTCACCATCTTACTCTTATGGTTTTTAGCGGTATGTTTTAAATTCATTTACTTGTTTTTTGTGGCGCCACCAATTTTAATTTGATGCATGTCAGCGGTCACTTTTTATACATAGAGATAGTTCTCTTTACCTCTATGGTCTACCCTCCGTAACAAGATTACAAGGGTTCCGTTTATACTTTATAGCAATGGATCCCAAATAAATACAATAAAATATACAATTCATGGGTTAATTTCAATTTAAATGAATAAGTACACTAGATTTATAAACTGTGCTTTTAATAACATGTAAAGTAAAATAATATAAAATAATATTGTTCTTATATTACAACCTATTAGTAGTATTTATTTTTAGATTTGATAAACAAGCTAAGTCACATAGTACCTTATAATTTCATAATATTTTTTATGAGGTAGCTATCTCTATCATTTTTTCTATAGAAGTAAGTTTTTCTCTAGGTTTGCCAATCTTTTTACCTTCTTCAATTTCAAATTTATCTATTTTTTCCCAGCCATCCCAAGTGACAACAGGACTTGCTCTGTCCAAAATTTCTCTTCTTAGTTCTTCGAAACCACCTCTGGAAGATTTTCGTTTATTTTTTTGTAAATCTTCACATATTAATTTGGCAACTTGAAAGGCATTACTCATTGTATGTAATATTACTCCCACAGGTCCAGTTCCTAGCCATCCAGCTACATATACTTTTGCCTTATCACTGTCTTCATTATCAATTACCCGGCCTTTGTCATTTACTACTACACCATTGGAAAAACGCAGGTCATTGTCAACATTAATACTCTTATATCCAATACTACGGAATGCAAGACTACAATTTAAAATTTCTTTACTTTCAGTTGGAACACATTTTTGTTCCTCTATTTTGTCACCTATAATTTTATTACATGTTAGTTCAATACCACTTAACAATCTTCGATCATTTATCAAGAATTTGTGTGGGCTTCTATAAAAAATAGGTCTAAAATATGTATGATTATCACCCCTAAGCTTTTGTTTAGTTTCACCGAGTGATGAAAGCATAAGTTCTGTTAGTCTTTTTCTAGGTCTTTGTAAACTACTAACAGCATCAGATATACCAATAAAATCTTCCTCTCTCCAAACAGTAGCACAATTTTTAAGTTTAATTTGTTCTCTTAGTTCCTTTATCGTAAACGCAACATGTAGTGGGCCTCTTCTTCCTACTAGATATAAATCTTTAACTTTTGATTCTCTTAAAGATTCCAGTGCATACTCTGTAATATCTGTCTTTTTCAATTGATCCAATGGGGATAACAGTATTCTAGCTACATCTAAAGCCACATTTCCCTGACCAAGAATTGCAGCTGTGTGACCAGATAAATCCACCTATAAAGAAAAGTAAACAAATAATTTCTAAAACTGTTCTACTATAATAGTTATTAAAATTATTATAAATAACTTTGATGTATTTATTAAATATTAATTTATACCGTAAGGTTTCTATCTCGGGGGTGACCGTTATACCATCCAACAAAATTTCTTGCAGCTATTACATTCCCTGCATCCTCATTTTCAATACCTAAAACTTTATCTTCTTCTGCACCATATGTCTGAATAGAAATATAATAATTTAAAAACAAATAATAATTTCTCTCACATCAAACACAATTGTAAAGGGCAAAAATACAAAAACTTATACCAATAAAACAGCATCGTAATATTGTCTCAATTGTTTGAGGCTAACATCTGTCCCCAGTGTTACATTACCATAAAAATTTACATTTGGTTGCTGAGCAAATTTTGTGAACTGATTAATGCAATTTTTAACTTCTGGGTGGTCAGGGGCAACACCATATCTGGAATAGAAAGAAAAAAATTTACTAATTTATACACAAGTTTAAGAGTAATTCGGGGCAGAATGTATATCTTTTAATTTAAAACACCACCTTAAAAGCCTGAAATATATTTTACCGAACTAATCCAAATGGTACAGGTAACTTTTCTATTATATCAATTTGAACTGTTTCAAGTTTTTTATTTAAATGCATTGCTGCATAAAAACAAGCAGGTCCTGCTCCCACTACACATACTCGGGGTACATCTTTATACGTCGAAATTAATCGCCTAGCCATTTTAAAAGCTTTCAAAGTTTTCGTTTAATTCGAAGGAATATTAAACATTTAACACATTAAGTAACTAAGAAACGAAGAAAGTTTTTAAATTATGTAAATAATATGTAAACAATTTTTTTTAAGCATGAAGTTTTAATTGTCATCCATGACATGAAGTGTCAAAGTAAATATTAAATAAGTTATGGCACAGAAAACAGGCCGTCTAAAATTAAAAATGTAACTTTTCGTTTTATTGTTTGTAAAATATTTTATTCTAATATTATCCCTTTTAAAAATATTATTTAATTTAAATATTATAGTACTTACTACTTAGAATTTAGCATGAATATGACACTGCAATTTGCTTCACTTACTACGAACATGGAAGTTGATAGTGCGTTTTTATCCGCCATTATAGGTATATTTTATTATATTCTATGGAATTAGTTAAAATTTTTTATTAATCATCTATGCCTGAGCCATGGATGACTGCTTTAGATTTTTATTTGTCAATTGTCATCCATGCCTCAGATCACCGCTTGTCATATTTTCTGTCATATTTGTCGTAGAAAATTTTAAAATAATAGTTTGAATGTATAATATCAAATATAATTTAAAATTTAGTATAAATTGCATAATATAACTACCAAACTTAGCGCTAAATTTATATGTAAAGATATATCGCGTCGTGATGTCTCACGTATCAGATATGAAAATTCTCTTTTCTAGGTTGTGTTCTATGAAAAATGGGTTAGTAAAGTAAAATCAATAAATATATATTGTTAATTAAAAACATAACATACAGAAATTGAAATAAAATGGAAAATAATAAATATTAATATACAAGATTTTTTGTTTTATAATATATATTTTTACTTATAATATCTCATAATAAACCATATCAATATATACACAATCAATCAATAAGTTAATATGGCTGTAATAATATATGTATATATATATTTTATTTCATTTTTTATTACTTTAAATAAAGTGAAAGTTGTGCAATAAATTAAAATTTCAGTTTACCTTCATTTAAATATGGAAGTCGAAACTTCAGCCAGAATATTGATAAACCACCACAGCCTTTACCCAAAGGCAGTGTCACACCTCTGCCACCTCTATCAGAACCAATGCCGAATCTTCCACCAGTGACCTATGCATCTTCAAAAGCCGATAACTATACTACAGAAGTGACTATATTAAGTAATGGACTAAGAGTTGCATCAGAAAAAAAATTTGGTCAATTCTGTACTGCTGGAGGTAATTAATAAAAATCCCAACATATTTATTTATTTATTTATATCCAAAATTCAAATTCTTTCAATTTCTTAATAATGTTATGTAGTATTTATTATATACTAAGAAATAAGCTTTATACATATATATATATATATATATATATATATATATATATATATATATATATATATATATATATATAAATATATATTGTTATTATCATTGTGATAATGAATGATCTATATGAATTTTATAACTAAGTATAAGACCTATTAATACTTTTAGTACATAAAATAATATTGTATTTCAGTTGTCATTGATTCAGGACCAAGATATGAAGTTGCATACCCTAACGGTATTTGTCATTTCCTTGAAAAACTTAGCTTTGGGGTAAGAATGTTAAATAATCTATAAATGATATAATTTAATCCTATTCAATTAAGAAGTTTTTATATAAAATAATTTATATTTTAAGGCAACTCATAAGTTTCCCACTCGTGATATGATGCTAAGAGAATTAGAACGACATGGTGGTATATGTGACTGTCAAGGCTCTCGAGATACAACAGTTTATGCTACCAGTGCTGATTCCAGGGGTCTGGAAGCTGTAACTCAAGTAATTAAGTAAAAGTTTATATTTTTATCTATGTGGATGACATTTAGTATTTTTTTTTAGAAAGTTGTACCATCCAACCAATCTCCTTTGTCTTTTACATTCTATGTGACATTGGGGAAGTAATCTATGTTCTAGTGACTCGATTTGAAGCCATTAAGAAGAAAATTAAATTGAAGTTGTACACTTATAAAAAAACATATTTATTATTTACTATAAGACTATAAGATTAGCTCATCATAGTAGTTAGTCATTCATCATTAAGAGCTTATATTGATACATAATGTTAATAATAAATAAATATATGAATATTTTTATGATTACATACATAACTGCAATGTATATATTTTAATTTAAGGTATTAGCTGAAGTTACTCTTAGACCTCAACTAACTACAGAGGAGATTGAAGGAGCTAGACAAGCCGTGGCATTTGAGCTTGAAACTTTGTCTATGAGACCTGAACAAGAAACTATTTTAATGGACATGATACATTCAGTATGTGATTGATTACCTTTTAATAAAATATAACACAATATTAAAGCACTCCAAGTTAATAAATTCAAGTCATATCTAGTGTTTGGTATACTATTATTTTTTTTGTAATGATTAAACCTATAAAGGTTTTATTTATATAAATTAACTTTAATATATTTTATAATTGTAAACTATTTGTTTAATGCAATATTTCCTATGGCTATCTTAGAAATTTTATGAATTGTAAATAGAATGCAGTGAACCTCCAGAAGAATATTCTAATAATATATTGGGGATTATGCTAAATACAATCACTACACAAGATAATTGTATAAGAAGGAAAATTGAATAATATATGAGATAACTAGCAACTCACCCTCGCTTTGCTCTAAGTCAGTAAAAACCAAATTCTATCCCACGGGAACCATACCTTTTACGGGGATAAAAAGTAACCCATGTGCTATCCAGACTAACCTATGCCTGTGCACAATTACATCCAAAACCAAACTTTCGCATTTATAATATTAATAATAGGTTGATATTTATATTACAGGCTGCATACAAAATGAATACTCTGGGCCTTCCAAAAATATGTCCTAATGAGAATGTATCGAAAATTGATAGAAGCATAATATTGAACTATTTGCAAAATCATTACACTCCAGATAGAATGGTTGTAGCAGCAGTTGGAGTAAGTTAATTCATAGTTTTATTAATGAAATAAGGCAGTGGTAGCTCAGTCGTAACAAACTTGCTTGGGAAACCAAGTGAAGCGGGTTCAAATTCCGGGTCTTGCACCTCTGATAATTTCTTGTGTGAATCATTTTGAACATGATTACCAATTATGGTGAAAGAGAACATCTTGAGGAAACCTGCATATTTGAGAGAACCTAACAAGTATACGAAAGACATGCGAAGTCCACAAACCCTGCATTTGGCCAGCGTGGTGAACTATGTCCTGATCCCCTTGTACTGAAAGCTCCAAGTCCAGCAGTGGGATGTAAAACAGAGCTGAATACAAATAATGAAATCATTGAGAATTTACTACACCAGATGAGCATTTACATTTGGTGTGGTAAATTAATGTCTATACAGTACATATACATAATATATGCTGTAAAAGGAAATATGCGTGTGATTTAAATAGAGGTATTTTTTTATAATCTTTATTGCTTTCGAAGTAAGCCTGTATTAATATATTTTTTTGATGTAATTTATTTTGATTAATATAGTAATTATTAAAAAGTGCAAATATAGGTGGAAAATTCAAAATAGATGAAACAAAACGTCATTGGTCAAATCGAATGTGACGTCAGACTATAACATAACAGCGATCAGCGATTTTGTCGCTACAAATTGAGTCGTCATTTTTCTGTGTATATCATACTGTGACGTCACGCCAAGCATGCGAAATGGCGAGTGTTTAAAGCATCCGTATCGGTATATTTAAAAAAATACAATATTTTAGTCTTTTGGAGTTGGATGTTTTTTCATAATTATATAATGTAAGCTATTGTATTAAAAAAATACGCACGCATATTTCCCATATCAAACATAGAATCCATGTCAGATACTTTAGCCAATTTTGCATTTATCATAAGTGTAGGTATTTAATACAAGAAATTAATAGTTGAGTTTTTTTATTATGATGTAGAAGCCATAAATTTTATTTAAATTTTAATACCAATTTTCTGTTTTTGTAAATATGTTAACCTACTATTTATTATTTAAAGTATTAGTATTATTTATTTAGCAATTTGTTCATAATCTATTTCAATTTTTCAGGTAGATCATGGTCCTTTTGTGGAATTTGTACAGAAATATTTTGTTGATATGAATCCAACATGGGACGCTGCGGAAAGCTTTACTCCACAAACAGACAAGTCCATTGCTCAATATACAGGAGGATTGATTCAGGTGATAATAAATAATATTTATCAAAAATAGATGTAGATAAAAAGTAAATGTATAAAGAAGAGATAAAAATAGTTTAATACATTTTAAACTTTACACCTTTAACTATCTCTGTACAAACTGACATGCCTTTGTATGCCACTATCATTATTGTTTCTAGTTATAATCTAAAATTATGTTTATAATATCATGTGAACAATTTGTACACAATGTAAAATCATTTCTTTAGTTTCCTAAAACAAGAAACATGAACATCCTACCAATAAATTTATAATAAACGAGCAACTTACCCTTGCATCACTCGGGTGCGTCCATAGGTACACGGATTTTGTTCACAATTTCATAGGTTTTAATTTTTATGTGGGGAACCCTAATCCTTTTTCTTAAATAAAAGTAGCCGAACCTACTCCTCATAACATCAGCTATCTGCCATTGAAAGTCCCGTCAAAATCGGTCCAGCTGTTTCGAAGATAACCCGGAACAAATGGACAGACAGAAAAAAAACTGTTTTTTTTTATTATAAGTACCATATATACTTTCATACGTATTTAGTAAAAAGCTATTATTTTGCCATTACAAACAGACACTTCAATTTTATTTATCTGTATAGATGATCATCTGGTGCAATGATAGCACACCTACTTCAAATGATTTTCTATGGTGTAGATTCCCAAAATCAAAATTTTTACTTTAATTTCTGCTTTCATAACCATTCATATCCATTTTGTAAAAAGCTCTTATTTTGACGTTACAAAAGAGTGTTGACGTTACAAACTGTTTGCAGGAAGAGTGTGAAATACCATTGTACCCCGGATCAGACTTACCAGAGTTATCGCATGTTGTTATTGGATTAGAAAGTAAGTTCATTTAGACAATATATTTATAATATACACATAATAATAATTGAACTAATAAAATTATTTTAGAGATGTTTTTGAAAGAATTTTACATCACACATGTTTTAATATCAACGACATGTTTGGTTTAGTGTGTAGTGACCCTACTTGCTGTAGGAGCGGTCGCGGGTTCTAGTCCCGCTATGGACATTTATTTTAGTAAAATACACAGTAATTTTATTACAATATAATATCAATAAAATAGGCAACTTAGGCTTAACTCCCCATACATGACATCAAATTTTGATAAGCTATCATCATCAGCCCTTGTATTACAGTTTTATTCACAATGTGGTGTCGACATTTTGTTAATATATAAAGTACTAGCGGCTCACACTGGCTTCGCTTGGGTTCGGCCCTAGGTACTTCTAGTTAATCTAGAGGAAAGATTTGTATTTTTGTTTGTTTGTAACAAACTCAAAACTACTGGACCGATTTAGATGAAATTTGGTAAGAAGATAGTTTGAGACCCTGGGAAGGATATTTTTTTTATTACGGAAATCACCCGTATGGGGGTGTAAATAGGGATGAAAGTTTGTATGGGGAATCAACCAGAGGGAAGCGAGGGTGAGTCGCTATTTAGTTCTAAAGCTAACGGGTTGGAGTATTTGGTTAGCCTTACTTTATATTTGGAATTGTAGAACCTGATTTCAGCTTTAACACTCGCTTATCTGAGGTATTAATAGAGTTCTCTGATCTTATTATTCATGAAGCATTAGATATTTGTCTTAGGATATAGTTTTGAGACCTTTGTGTTATACTTGAATTGTTATCACATGTACGTCCCCATAGTTGGATACCATATGTCCATACATCTATACTAATATTATAAAGAGGTAGAGTTTGTTGGTTTGTTTGTTTGAATGCGCTAATCTCAGGAACTACTAATCCGATTTAAGAAAGTATGCTTGCATTAGATAGTCCGTTTATTGAGGAAGACTTATAGGCTATATATCATCATGCTACTACCCAAGGGAGCGGAGCAGTAATCATAAATGACAACAAATCGGACAAACTTACATACATTATTACCAATATCATAAATTTTTTGTAGTTTTAGCGCGAGCGATGCTGCGAGTTCTGCTAGCGTAGTATATGAGTAAGGACCCTAATGTTAGTCTTTTTGCAGGCTGCGCGCACAGCGACCCGGACTTCGTGGCGACGTGCGTGCTCAACATGATGATGGGCGGCGGCGGCTCGTTCTCGGCGGGCGGGCCCGGCAAGGGCATGTACACGCGCCTCTACACCAACGTGCTCAATAGGTAACAACCACGCATATACATGTCTAGCGACTCACCCTCGCTTAGCTTCGGGTTCGACCATAGACAAAAAAATCTTATCTCACGGGAACCGTGCGTTTTTCCGGGCTTATATATAGTCTATAGCTTTCCTCGAAAAACCAGCTATCTAACGCAAACAGAAAATTTTCAAATCAGATTAATAGTTTCTGAGATAAGCGCGTTCAACCAAACAAACTGTCTCTTTGTAATATTAGTATAGATGCGTCTTTATTTAAAGTTTACTTAGTTACATACCTACTTTAACCTTGTTCTACAAATGTAATTCAGTTTAAATAAATCATTTCATTTCAAAGTTTATCAACTGGTTTAGACTGTATAATTTTTTTTTTTTTATTATATTCTTTAATGTTTGTATATCATCTAGGAGGATGGCACTCGAGGTGGTCACAAAGCTACGTAAGCCGATTGATTAGAATAAAGTAGTATTTATTAAGAAATAACGCCTGATAAAAAGGACTCTCGCTTCGCTCGGGTTCGTCCCTAGCTTGCTTCGCCATACAAATTTTCATCCCCATTTTTACCTCCTTAAGGGATGACTTCCGGGATAAAAAGTATCTCTTGTCCTTCCCAGGGTCTCAAACTATCTTTTTAACAAATTTCACCTAAATCGGTTCAGTAGATCCAGAGATTACCCCCTGTAACGTCACAAACTCACAATTCACAAACTCAGAAACTGAAAACTTTCCAACCGCAGATACCATTGGATGTTCAATGCCACGGCGTACAACCACGCGTACGGCGACACGGGCCTGTTCTGCGTGCACGCCGCCGCGCCGCCAGCGCGCCTGCACGACACCGCGCTCGTGGTGGCGCGCGAGCTCGCCGCCATGGCCGGGCCCGTCGCCGCCAACGAGCTGCGGGTATACATACCTATCTACTACATATTACATACTAATGCTTTGTTATTACATTTACACGAATATTTGACCTTGTAAATAAAAATGTCTTTTTGGATTTTTTCGTCTGTAATAACTATTAGTATACCTTTGAGAAGTCTAAAACCTTGATCTCTCACGTGACCATGATTGCCTTAAAGTTTAAAGCATTCGAAAACTCGGGAATATAAAATCTAAATAAATCCGCGTAAAAATTTGAAAAGATAGTTATTTAAAATACTATATACTAGTTATTTATAATTACTGTCATGTGCTAAGTACACGAGGTCCTGGGTTCGAGTCCCGGGTCAGGCCTGATATGATAGCAGCCAAGAGTTGGAAAATTAGAGACGGATACGACGATTTTTAACGCGCTGTCGATATGCGTTGTATACATGCAAACACAAGTAATCTGCATTTTTTAATTTTTCAAAGCAAAAAACGCGTTCGTGTATTTGCGTCGACGGCGCACGTGTGCGTAGGCCCTTATCTTTATTCAGAAGTCACACCAATGGTGTGTCGAATAGGAATAGAATAGGTGCTTCGTTTAATAAAGATACTGGCTGTGCTACGATATAATGGCTTCCTGGCCTAATTTAGAACTTAATTATATTTTACTTTAACAAATTATTTGAATAGCGAAATAAAAAAATGTATTTTACTTGCCTACCAACACAGCATTTTAATTTTATTTAGCTATATAGATTATTACTGCCAGCATCTCTAAAATATGTTTGTTATTTGACAGAGAGCAAAGACTCAACTTCAGTCGATGCTGTTGATGAACCTCGAAGCGAGGCCGGTCGTGTTCGAGGACGTCGGCCGGCAAGTATTAGCTACGGGCAAGAGGAAACCGCCGACGTTCTTTATCAACGAAATTGGTGAGTGCAATTCTTATAACTGTTTAATTTACTCACGTTTTAAAGAGGTAAAATATAGGAATGGACCTGTGAAGCTAGCTGCACGTCAATGTGCACAACACAAACACACAATATACACACACACACTAACAACACAATATAATAAAATTGTAACTAAGCCGAATCTGTACATTAGATATTTTTTGGAAAATCTTATTGAAATAAACATTATTATCTATGCAGAGGCCGAATCTATAGTTTTTAGAATTTTTGTCTGTCCGTCTCTCTGTATGTCTGTCTGTTACCGCATCACAGAAAAACCACTGGAGGGATTTTGATGAAATTTGGTATGGTGATAGTTGGTTATCCGGGTCAACATATAGGATACTTTTTACCGCGGTAAAATATCTCATTTCTGAGAAAAATACAAAAACTGCAATGTAAGAGTATAATAATATGTAAAACCTAAGAATTTGGTTTTTGGTCATCTGAACGCGGGCGGAGCCGCGGGCAATGCCAGTATGTAATAATTATTAAGAATTAACTAAGAACATAAAATGTGACGCAACAAAAATTTTGAAGTTCGTGTTTAAGTTTAAACAACAATTTCCAGTTAAAATTTGAGTTTGAATACACATAGGATCTTGTCTTGACTTGACATATTATAAATAAGCAGAAAATTATAGTAAAATTTATTTAATTGATTCATACGACTTCTGCAACGTATTTTCATTTAGAACTACTACAATAAAATTCTGATTATTTGATATCTGTACATTAAACTATTTCTTTACAATCATTTCCACTTTTGAATAATTTAATTTATATATATATATATATATATATATATATATATATATATATATATCTATATCGAAAACGGCTCCAACGATTTTCATGAAATTTAGCACACTGGGGGTTTCGGGGGCGATAAATCGACCTAGATTAGTCTTATATCTGGGAAAACGCGAGTTTTCGAATTTTCATGCGATTTTCTTTTACATTTTTTGCATTGTCACTTCTGGTGGGTGGGAGGCGCCACTGTGCAACTGTCAACATCGTGTCCGTATTTACATCAAGTTTAAAAATATTTAAGTGGAAATAATCTAAAGAAAAATGGTAAATTATATTAATCGATAAAACCTATGGGCAATATGTAAACATCACCAAGTCTTAATGTGTTGATGACAAATGAGCTTTTAAAAATTCACCTACCAAACAAATACAAAAGTGACAAACATAACATATAGATACTATCAGTGCAAAACCATCTTTTCTGTGTGTGATGACAATAAAACAAAATAATTTGTGAAGTGAAAGCGTAAAATATTTAAACATAAGTTTATAACCTCAAAAACTAATACTCGGTATAAAATTGCAATTCAACTAGGTGCTCTTTTTCAATCAGCTTTTCTACTTCCAACTTCACACTTAAGATGGAGGACATAAAAAAGTTGTTAATAAACATGCAACAAGAAATAAGACAGCAGAAAACAGAAATGTTAGAAATGAAAGAAGACATTAAAAATACAATCAACAATAATATACTTAAATGAGAAATTTAAACACTTAGAAATAAAAATTGAAGTTCTTGAGAAAAAAATCCAGGAACAAAGTACCTCAATAAATAATTTAGAAATATATATTAGGCTCAAGAACTTGGTTATGTTTGGAGTAGAAGAAGGTGAAAAATCCTATCATGAACTAGAGGAAAAAATAGTCTTAAACAAACGCAAGGAGTTACAAGCCCAACTGAAGATAAAGAAAAAGACCTAGGCAAAACAGCTTTCATTAAATATGACAAACTAATTATTGTGGATATAAATAAGAACACTTCTCGCCAATACTCAAATAAAAGAAGTCTGCCTGTATCTCCAGAAACGCCTTACCTCAATTATAAACAAAAACTAACAAATAAACAACATACAAAGAAAACCATACCTGGTAATATTAAAGACTTTATATTACAAAACCCAAAATTAACTTTCAACCACACAAATGATAACCAGGAACAACTAAAAACAACACAGCAAGATATAGTATATTAAACACCGTAGGAACCTCCTCATCTTTATCCACCAGTACGGCCGGTCACTGTGGGGGAGTTCGACCGTAACCCTCTAAAGAAAAACAGACATACAATGAACAAAGGTATACATATCTTCACCAGAAAAACTTCTAGAATTAAAAGCAGCATTTCCTACAACAAATCAAAAGAACACAAAGATAAAATTATAAACTTTATAGGCATATCAGAAACAAATTATATATTGAAAACAAAATTTGAGAGAGAGAAACCCTTTGCAATCATACAAGCATAATCTCCAACGGAGAGCTCTATGCAGGACTACTTTGGAGGAGGCTTTTAACCGAGAGGGGTCTATACATGAAAAAGACATTTACTAAATAAATACATTTAATTATGAAATTAAATACCTAATTTACCTAATTTATAACTATTGTCAGAATTAATGTATGGAAAGACATTTTATTTATATTTATTATTATGAAATGTTTAGTATTTACTCAATTGAATTATTTAATTTATTGTGAGTGTTTATTTATTTATTTGTTAATGATTTTCACTGCAGACCTTCCAGAAATGCAAAATATTACCACTGCCACTTTTGCTGACGACACCGCAGTACTAGCTAGTAATACAAACCCTGAAGAAGCCTCTAGTATCTTACAGGTAGGCCTAGACCAAATAGAAGACTGGCTCCAAAAGTGGCGGATTAAAACAAGTGCATCCAAATCTACCCATGTCACATTTGCTCTTAAGAAAGGAAACTGTCCGCAAGTCAAATTAGGAACAAGTACTTTACCGCAGAATGACACAGTAAGATGCCTTGGGATACATCTGGATAGAAGATTAACTTGGAAAAACCACATTAAGGCAAAGAGAGATGAGCTAAATATACGATACAAAAAACTATACTGGTTGATGGCACGCAATTCCAAACTATCTATCGACAATAAACTACTCATTTACAAGACTATACTCCAACCAATTTGGATGTACGGAATACAGCTTTGGGGAAATGCCTGTAGCTCTAACATAACCATTATACAAAGGCTGCAAAATTGTATCTTACGCACCATAGCAAATGTACCCTGGTTCGTAACCAATGCCGAAATACACAATACCTTAAATATAACCACACTCAAAGAAATTAGGCTGTCAGCAATTAAGTATAAGGGTCGGCTCAAGGATCACCCAAACGAACTTGCAACGAAACTCCTTAACATGAGTTATCTCAAACGTCTAAAGCGGCATGACATACAAAGCCTTAGACGCTTTACTATAAGGAGGGGTCATCCTTGCTGAAGGATCATCTCAATAACGCTAATTTTCTCTTGAACACATCTGCTTATAGTTGAAGACTGATTGCAAATAAACGAACAAGAAAAAAAAATTGTTATTGATAATTTATATATATACAATATCATTTCAAATAATATAAAAGATTTTTAAAATAATTTAATTCCAGATTACAAAATTATTAGTTAAAAAATTATAAGTTAATAATTAGTCACTAATCAAAAATTGAAGTTAATTTAAATATAATCAAATAAGTTATAAATATGATCTGTTAAAATACAATATTAAAAATTGTTAATTAAGTAAGAGTAATTATAATTTAAAATTATAAGTTGGCATGTATACAATAAATAAAGCTTTATAATTATTATTATTTCTTTTCCATTATTCCACGCAAAATATTATGTTCGATAATTTCGCACGCTTAGACATAAGCATCATGGTCAAGCGGCCAATGCGCAAGTTTGACAACCACAGGTGTCTGGGCTCGCATCCCAGTCGGACACGAAGTTTTTAATTTTGTTTTTTTTTTGTATTTTTATTCAAAATCTTAGTTTGTTTTTTTTTAAATATTTTTTTGGCCAAAAACTCCGAGCGAAGCTCGGTCGCCCAGATAATATATATAAATATAAATATATATATATATATATATATATATATAAATATAAATATATATATATATATATAATACTTTCTTAGATTTACGCGAATAGGCATATCTTTTCGGATTTTTTCGCATATTCGATATTTACACAATATAAAATGAAGTCGCTTCCGCTGTTTGTTCTCTTAGATCTTTTAAACTACTCAACGGAGTTTAATGCAGTTTTCAGCAATAGATATTGATTCAAGAAAAAGGTTTATATATACATAATATACTCATTAGGAATATTATAATACGGAAAAGCCGAGAAATTCAAAGATTTGTATTTCATACTAACTGTTAAAACGAACGTACGGACGAACCCGAGCGAATCGAGGGTGAGTTGCTAGTATTTTTATATTATCCTTTTATTACATATATTTTAAATAACATTTATTTCTTCTTTTTTTATAGAAAAAATAACAGCGTCGGACATCCAGCGCGTGGCGCGCCGCATGCTGGGCAAGCCGCCGGCGGTGGCGGCGCGCGGCCGCCTGGCGCACCTGCCCGCGCTCGCCGACATACACGCCAACATGGCGCCCGACGCGCCGCCCGCGCGACGCCTCAACCTCTTCCGCATGTAGCTTTAGATATTCCTAAATGTTAAATAAATTTATGCTAGTTTTTTCGTTTTATTTCTTATTCGTACTTATTGTGTACAAGAAGTATTTATTGATATTTTAATAATAATTTAGGGAGGGTTCAAATTTTATATATACATATATACACTTATACTAATTTACAGCAATATAATTCAGAAATATTTAATATTAATTCTTTTTTTGTCAGAACATGTATTCAGGCCTTTTTAACATCACATTGATGGGCACGGGGTTACCTTCAATGTGTGGAGGATTGGGCCACACTGGAAAAGTGAGGGCGAAAAACTTGCTGGTTTCTCCCAGACATGCAGCTTTCCTTACGATGTTCCTTTACCATATGGCAAATGCAAGTAAATAAAAGTCCAAATTATATAATAGTTCGTTTATTATTCTATATACAAAATAACACATATCTTATCAATCTACCTTCACTACAAATATATAAAATATGGCAAGGAAATGTTGTTTGATTGGGTTCATTAAAAAAAGTAAAGTTGGCTATATTATAGCCGGCAGTTCAGACTACTCTTCCACCCCCGGATTTGTTCTCTACGCTTGGTGTCTCAATTAATCGTGGGTCCGTTGTGCGTGATATGATCACAATGCAAGCTACCAGTCAGGATAAGTCAGATGCTCAAAAGATTTTGTTAGCTATTTTGAATCCAATTCAGGTTCTTTTGAATTTTAACCTTGATATCGACGAGTTAAATGTAAAAATGAGGATTATCGCCGTTTTTATTTGTAAACTACTATTCATATGCTCCCCAACATTTACGAATATAACCCAGGCTACGGCTCATGCATTGGATGATTATCTAATGGCTAATATACACGCTTATGGAGTGACTAATGAACCAGGCACTCCTACAGGTTTTTTACAGAATGGTAGACGAGTTACCAGATCCACCGAGTTAGCAACGAATTATGATATCGGTCGCGGTTGGTTGAATTCAACTTATGCTGTCGCTGGAGTATATGAACGACCTTTGTATAATGGGGTGAGCCATTATCCTATTTATGGCGCACCGCGTGATCCACTTCCTGTAAATGGGATCATTCGACAAGAAGATCAAGTTGGCGCTTTGCCAAATATTTGGAATGTCATTATGGCAATTGCATCATCGGTGCGGCTCATCATTAATGAAGCTCTCCCCACTTATTTCTCTGCATATCAAGACTCTTATGTTACTTATCTTCTCAGGTTGAATACATTCATTTTTCGTAATTATGAGCACAGGCTTCGTCTTCCTTATAATTCCATAGTTCCACTTCTCATTAATCATAATACAATTTGCGGTCCTCCTCTTAATTTTACTGTTTCATTGAAATCCGTGGTTCATTTTTTCTTGAATCTTCCATCATCTTTTAGTGCTGAAGGCATGGGCATAGGTCAGCTAGCTTTAGAAAATGATTTTTCACAAGCTTTTTACATTTTTTACAAGCTGTCTCACAGGATGTTTCAGGAGGGCTCACAAAAGTGATTCGAACTTGTAGTCAGCTTGTTATAACAACTTTCTTTGAGGGATATCAGGAAATAATTCGAGTGCCACATCATACACCGTATTCGTGCGCACTACGTGCTCTTTATGTCGCATTTCATCAATATCCTGAGTGGTTCGGCGCTACAAACCGCGTAACCTATGCTTTACGTCCTTATGAGCTACCCTCCAAAGACAGAGCTACCAGAGTCGCACGTGGAGTGGTTCTAACTAATTCGGTTGTAGGACCATCACGACCAATGGTTTTCCAAGAATGGCGCGTACACCTATCTCGTGGGGGCTTATTATTTATTTTATATCAATCACGTGATTCTCTCCCATCTATTACCCTCGATTGGTACATTCCTTATCAACTGCATGTGTCACCTATAATGCCGAAACTGCCTGTACCCTTTACTGTAAATCCTGATGCTATTAATTCAGCTCGTTCAACCATTACATTCGGGTCATTTACTGAGTTTCATATTACGAATGTAGACGTTGAAGCATCCGTTGATACATGGTTAGTGAACGATATGCAGCATAAGTTCATGATAATCCATAATGATAGCATGGTTAGAAGTGTCCCATCAGCTGGACTGAACAATATGGTACGTAGAGTCAACACCACTTCTCACGGTGCCGTCGAAATAGTTTCTATGCCTCAATGGTTTGAGAAGATGTTTTTAGATTCTAAGTCAAAAAGTCAAAGTACTCCTAAGTCTGCCGAACCGAAAGACGATAATGCTCCCGAGCGTTCCTAAGTGTTCACTCAATGAGTCGTAAGTCTTTTGGTTCTAACTCAAATTAACAGATGTTCCTAGACCTGCTGTATCAGGGACTGAAGGTGCGTTCGGGCGCTCTTAAGTGCCTGCTCGATAAGCCGGAATAACCTATGTGGCTATCGTCGATTTTATGTACATTATTAAAAAGGGGGGTAAGGGGGAACGGGACTACTATCTAATCCGACCTAATTGCCAACCTCACCTGCACGTGGTGCCCCCTGCTAGATAACAGACGAGGCTCTGGCGACCGATCAATTGCGGTATAACCACACATCCAACACAGTGATTGGAAAAGGCAAGCAGCGACCTTGAGGTACAAGTAACCTCTAAAATGTCTGGTGCAGAAGGCAAGGGGAAACCACTGCACTATTTTCCCTAGTTATCGTCAGCTTTATGGAAAAGTGTAAGAAAAAAATGGCCCCGAGTTCCTGGCGTCCCTTAGATGGGACAGGGGTGCTAAGAATCCCCAGGTGGAAAAAGCAACAAATGAAGATAGGAACGTGGAATGTCAGAAGTTTGAAGAGTCCCGAAAAGGCCTATAATGTCTGCAAAGAAATGCAACGAATGAAGATTAACATCATGGGACTAAGTGATATCAGATGGATAGGCAAAGGTAAACATCAAATAGATGATAACTTCACCATGTATTACTCTGATTCTGACGATAGCTCCAACAAGTATGGAGTGGGAGTAATCATAAACACAAAATGCGTTAATACACCTGTGAACTTAGTACCAAAATCAAACCGAACGATGTTACTTCAAATAGAAGCCAAGCCTAGAAATATTAACATCATACAAGTATATGCTCCCACTACAGATGGGTCAGATCAAGAAGTTCGAGTCTTTTACGAAGAAATACAAGACCTGCTCCAAATGACAAAAAATCACGAAATAAATCTTGTAATGGGTGATTTTAATGCTAAAGTGGGTAAAGGAGAAGTCCCAAGAGTAGTCGGAAAGTTTGGACTTGGAGCAAGGAATGAGAGGGGTGATACCCTTGTACAATTCTGTCAGGAGTGTGATTTCGCTATCATGAACACCTATTTTCAATTACCACCAAGGAGGTTGTATACATGGACGTCACCTAAGCATAGCGCTCAGCAAATTGTAAGAAATCAGATAGATTACATCTTGATTAATAATCGCTTTCGTAATTGCATCAAAAGTGCTAAGACCTATCCTGGAGCTGATATAAGATCCGACCATAATCCAGTTATAGCGACAATATCATGTAGACTTAAACAACTAAAGAAGAGAACAGAGCACCACGCAACAGACGTGAGGAAACTTAAAGAGCTTAACATCCGAGATATAGTGGCGAAAGAAATAAATGAGTGGGCGCAGTAGATAAGAAACCTGGGATACCGCGTACGGTGGAGGAAGAGTGGTGTTCAATAAAGAACAAATTATTAACCATCAATGAGACACACTTAAAAAGAGATTGGACCCCTAAGCAGAGCTGGATGACAGAAAAAATATATAATCTTATGGAAGAAAGGAGAATCTACAAAAATTCTGACAAAGGCAAGTACACTGAGATTGATAAGAAAATTCGGCGTGAAGTTCGTTATGCCCGAGATGCTTGGTATAAGTGCAAATGTGATTTTGTGGAGGACCTTTATGCTAAGCATGATGCATTTAACCTGCATAAGGAAATAAAATCTCTGGTAGGGCAGAATAAGACCACTCATCAACTTACGGACGAAAATAATATCCCCATATTAGATATATCAGGTAAAAAACACCTATGGGAACAATACATTTCATCAATGTTTGCCGATGATTTTCGAAGCATAGCGGTAAATTGTGACCCTTATGAAGGATATCCTATCCTGAAAAGTGAAGTCACTAACGGTCTTAGAAAAGCTAAAACGGGAAAATCAGCTGGGCCGGATAATGTTCACATAGAGATACTTAAACTTATTGAAGAACAAAATATTGACTTCTTGGTTAATTTTTTTAATCTGGTATATCAATCTGGCCACTTGCCCAAGGACTGGCTAACTTCAACTTTTGTCACGCTTCCTAAGAAGGCCAACGCTAGAAGGTGCGAGGAGTTTCGAACGATTAGCCTTATGAGCCAAGTATTGAAAGTATTTCTAGCTATCATCCATGATCGAATAAGATGTGACGAACAACTTGCAGACAGCCAGTTTGGCTTTCGAACAGGAGTGGGCACGAGAGAGGCTCTTTTTGCAATGCAGGTTCTCGTACAGAAAAGCAGAGACATGCAACAAGACGTTTTCCTTTGTTTCATCGACTACGAAAAAGCCTTTGACAGAGTACTGCACGACCGTCTAATTGCAACATTACACGATATCGGCTTAGATGACAAAGATGTACGTATTATCCAGAATCTGTATTGGAACCAAAAGGCTACTGTACGAGTTGACAATGAAGAGACCGATGAAGTTGAAATAAAGAGAGGAGTTCGTCAGGGCTGTATATTATCACCCACTCTATTTAATTTGTACTCGGAAAGTGTAATAGCAGAAGCAATGGAAGACCTGGAATGTGGAGTCAAAATAAATGGCCGGTATATTAACAACATCAGATACGCGGACGATACAGTCCTAATAGCATCATCTCCCGAAGAGCTACAATTGATTATGACCCGTGTTAATGATTGCAGTGCAAACGCTGGTCTACGGATGAATATATCAAAGACGAAGATCATGGTTTTATCCAAACATAGCTTCGATGACATGGCTATCATGGTAGCGGGCCAAAAAATTGAGAGGGTACACAAATATAAATATCTAGGGACATGGCTTAATGACACCTGGAGCTGTGAACAGGAGGTAAAGACTGGCATTGAAATAGCTCGAAGTGCCTTCTGTACCTTAAAAAAAGTCCTCTGCAATCGCAGACTCAAGATCCCTTTGCGTACACGACTCCTACATTGTTACATCTGGCCTATACTTCTGTACGGATGCGAGGCGTGGACAATTAAAGAAGACCTCAAGAAACGGGCATATAGACGTATGTTGGCCATCAGTTGGACTCAAAAGGTATCGAACGTAGAAGTTCTGCGACGCGTCAATCAGAAACGGCTACTTTTGGAGACCGTCAAGAAAAGAAAAGTTGCATATCTTGGCCACGTGCTTAGACATGAAAGATATCAACTTTTGCAGCTCATCATGATGGGAAAGGTTGCCGGCAAGAGAAACGTTGGTCGCAGAAAAAAGTCTTGGTTGAGCAACATCCGAGAATGGACGGGAATCGCGAGTGCTGCCGAGCTCTTTCGCCTCGCCAAAATCAAGACGGAGTATACGAAGCTGACTGCCAACCTTAGCTAGTCGGAGAGGCACTTGAAGAAGAAGAAGAAAAAAAGTAAACATCATTGAAAAAAGAATCAGTCTTGCCAATAACAATGAATAAATTCATAACATTAAGTAACACCTGTGTGATACCTGTTATGCAGTAAAATACAATTATTGTCATTACATAATCATACTCGACAAAAATTATAATCAAAAGGTGTGTAAGTCATTGTTGTGCGAAGATCCTTTTAATCATTGCTACCCTGTTAAAAAATAAGTAACGTCATGGAAAAGTGATACAAAATTAATTACTACATAATATGTAACAATGATGTAGATTAAGGTATCTCACGGAAGATTTCTATATAAAATGGCATAAAAATATTTATGCTTATTGTGCTAGTTTAACAGCAGTTCTAGCTGCCTCATCAGCATCATTGATGATCTTAAACGGCAACTTGGATTCTTCTAGAATTTTTTTAGCTTCAATAGAATTTGTGCCTTCTAATCTAATTACAAGAGGATGTTTGGGTGGGTTCTCCTTACACGCTGCAACAATACCTTTCGCCACTGTTACACAGTTCACAATACCTAAAATCATAAACAATATTTTTATATTATTATATATAAACTAAAGCAGTAGTAGCCCATTAGTAAAGTGTTAACTTAAAGACCCAAGTTCATGTCTCGGTCCCGACCTTGTGGGATTTTCATAAGTGAAAAGTTGAGAAAACATTGTGAGTTAACCTACTCATCTCAGAGAACTTAATTAGTCTTAAAACAGATGATATGTTGCCAATCTGTACTTGGCATCATATTGGACACTGTAACCTTAAGCACAATATTGCAGGGATGTACAAAAAAGCTTTAATTACTATTATTAATTTTGATTATTATAGAATATTATAATAGTTTACCTGCAAAGACATTAACAAATATAGACTTCACTTTAGGGTCTGACTCTAGTATCCTTAGGGCTGCAGAAACTTGTGACTGTCCCACTCCACCGCCCAGGTCTAAGAAGTTTGCAGGTCTTCCTCCACTCAACATGATGAGATCCATTGTGGCCATAGCCAAGCCAGCACCATTAACCATGCATCCAATACTGCCATCCATATCAATGTATGTTAAATTAAGGGCAGCCGCTTCTCTCTGAAGTAAACATTATATAATGTAATCTCCATATTGATGTTCTCCTGACCGATTCCGGCCACGGCTGCCAATCTCATTGAGACTAGCCAACTGCGCAGGAGATATTATAGTGCGCAAGTGTACGCGTAGACACAAGTGCACTCTCTATTCCTGTCACTCTCATACTCTGGTGGAACGACTGCTCGACACGACCAGTGAGAGTTAAGGCGCAGGACCGACGGCTTTACGTGCTCTCCGAGGCACGAGGGTGAAACACCGCCAACTTCCCAACTCCGGGCTATTACTAAGGCTTACTATACAGAAAGACTCAGTAACTAAACTTGGCCCGACCCGGGACTCTAACCCAGGACCTCCGAGTGTGCAACCATACATGTTAGCCACTACACCACCGAGGCAGTTAATCTCCATATTACAATAAATATATTAGTAAACTCTGCGTACCACACAGTTGTTAAAGCAGATATTATAATATATGTTATATGTATATTCTAATAAGTAGCTGTAAGCAAAAATAGTAAGTACATACCACAACTTCTAAACCCATTTTGTAAAAAGGCATGAGTAATGGAGTTGTAGCTAGCTTAATTTAGATGATTTTTTATTCAAACTACATATTAAACAAAGAACCCCAATTAAAACTAGTTATTGATGAGTCCTAATAATAGAGACAAATTCTCAAACAATTCTCTAAATACAATTCTCAAAGAGGAATTTAATTATCTACTATTATCCAATCATAATTACAATACATAATATTGTTTGTATAAAATTGAAACTTGTTGAGAATAACAATTTCAGAATAATAAATTGTGGCTTTAAATCAACAAGTTTTAAACAATAACATAGCATATATTTGTACAATATAATGATTAAAGTTTTATCAATTTATCTTCTGTTAATGAATTGTTTACATACTCCAAATAAACACAATGTGCATACATATACATTACATAAGACACTTGACCAGTTAAAATGAGGTTAACCCCTCATGACTTTGTTCCAAATTCAGTCAATTATTATTTAATTAAACATACTAGAGGGCACATTTTAATAGGCACCCCGGTCAAAACATATTGTCCCTTTTATTATTGTATATAAAAAATGATTATATATGCTATGAACATAGCAATCTTGCAGTGGGATCTTAGTCTATTACATTTTAAATTTAATCATAGACAGTATTTTTTTACAAGATAACTTTGTTTATTAAAATGTTGCTAAGAATTATTATGGCCATTGTGTTTATTGCATAAAGTATTTATGATAAATGCTTGCCCTTGTAACTTGGGGACCAATTCTGTCTGATAAGGTGTTGATAAAGTTGTTTATCAATTGCATTATTAAATGAATTCTTATAATGTATTTAGTAAATGTGGTGAATATGCTTGGAATTATTTCATAATTTGAAAGCATTTATTAATATCAAGCTAATTGCTACAGATAAAAATGATTAATTGATAATTTTTTTAAACTGTTCCAGTGGGGACAGAAAATATATTTTTCTAGGATTTTTGAACAGATTATAAACATATAAAACAAAGGGGTAAAAATATATGCAATAAAGTTATCTAATGTAATCTATTTGTGTTAAAAGTTTCTAAAGTTATCTTGAATCTAATTAAGATTACTTACTTCTCTTGGATCAACTTGAGATGTATCGTCAAGTGCAAATATTTCCTTTTGGCGAAACTGTGCATTATCATCAAAGTTTATTTTTGCATCTACTGCTACAACTCTTCCATCATCAGTTTCTACCAAAGGATTTATTTCAAGTTGAGTAGCATCAACCTGAAATTTAAATACATAACTTTTATAAAGCTTTTAAAAGCATAACTGTAATAAACTGAATATTTAAATAACAAAATTAGAAAAACCAAACACACCTTTAAGAATAATTGCCATAATTTTTTTATTTCTTCAGCACACTTTTGTATTAAAGGTCCCTTAAACTCTAAAAATTCTGCTACTTGCTTGGCTACTTTATCTGTTATACCCTCATAAATGTCTATAGGAACTGTTTTAAGCAAATGCGGTGTTTTCTCAGCCACAGCTTCTATATCCATTCCACCAGCTGGGGAGGCAACTAATGCTGCACCATTGTAAGTTCTTTCCATCACAATACTTAAATATGTTTCTCTTACAATATTCACACTCTCTGCCACCATTACTTTGTCAACTAATATACCTTCTTTGGGAGTTTGTTTTGTAATAAGGTTATGTCCAATCATATTTTTAGCTAAGCTAAGTACTTCATTACGGTTTTTCGTTAAATGAACACCACCTTTAAATCCATTATCGAAATGACCTTTTCCTCGACCACCAGCCAAAATTTGAGCTTTTACAACATATTCTTCAGCTTTGAAATCTGATAAGGACTTTGGATCCAAGGAAGAATCAATGAGGCGAAAATTTTGTATTGAAACTTGGTATTTCTTCAATAAATCTTTGCTATGATACTCTTGTAGATTTAAATTTCTTTTAGATATTATTCGTGGGCTGTATTTTTGATTTAACACGTTAAGTATTCTAAAATTCCTCGTTTTCGATATAGCAGCCATAATGTTATCTTATGATAATTAAGTGATTTAATAAGTATAAATTTAAAATATTTACTATAATTTTAATAAGAGTTCAAAAATCAAAAGTCACTTCCCAGTATATATCTATACTCTTTGCTTAGTTCGCTCAACGCTGTTCTGTTCGACTTCGACAACTTACTAATAATCAGTGTTGCAAAAGTTAAAAATAAAAATCGGTAAATCTACTAGATAAAAATCGGAAGATTTTTATTTGTACTCCATCGGTTTAGGTAGTTTTAAAACTAAAGTTATATAATCAAATCATAAAACACGTACTTTTAAATGCCGTTCCTCTTCGTTTCATTTTTTGCGATCAAAATAATCTATACATGACTGAGTCGAAGTTCAGCAGTTTCACGTTTTATAGTGTAGCTCCAACGTTAAACATTAATCTGTGACATTAGATTTAATTGATTTATACCTTTCAATATATCATCAAGAAGAAAAAAAATACTTTCTAAATTAGGTCAAACATTGATTGACTTCATTTTGCATAATATTGGCCATCTTGGTTTGGCAACGTATTTGTCATTTGAACATCTTTTAATAAATATAATTATAATATTGGTACGACTTACTAGAGAAAAGTGTTTCCTGCACATTTTAAACTTGTATGGCTCCTGCACCACTTCACAAAACATGCTGGCATGATGTGTAACAATTGTAGTTCACAATGATAAAAATTTAAACGTACGCGAAAATTTGAAATGTGCTTGCTTGCAAGAATAATGTTCGACTGATGACGCACTGGACACGACTTTTAAGCTCCGCCTACTTGGACACGACTTTTGTTGGGTCACTTTTTTAACGCAGTTACATTTCCTGAACTATTATTTATTCGTAACCATTACCTTAATTTACATTTTAACTTTAAACTTTAACTATTTATAACTGGCTGCACACCCGGAGGTCCTGGGTTCGAGTCCCGGGTCCGGACAAAGTTTATTTTTTGTTTTGACAAAGTTATTGAGTCTTAATTCTGTATAGTAAGCATAAGTAACAGCCAGTAGTTGGGAAATTGGTGGTGTTTCATCCACGTACCTCGGAAAGCACGTAAAGCCGTCGGTCCTACGCCTAACTCTCACCGGTCGTGTCGAGTAGTCGTCCTACCGGAGTATGAGAGTGACAGGAATATAGATCTAGGGCACTTATGTCTGTGCGCACACTTGTGCACTATAATATCTGGGCAGTTGGCTAGTCTCAATGAGATTGGCCGCCCTGGCCGGAATCGGTCAGGAGGACATTAGGTATTATTATTAATTAACATTTTGCAATACTCATACCAATAAAATTAATGAAGCTTTTTCATCATTTTCATCATCTTTTTCGTCATTCATACCTACCGGATGATTTGATGAATGACTACTCAGTCCGAGCTGAGTAGCTCGGGTTGAGTAGTCGTTGGGTAAACGCCTGTATTTTGGATCTCTCCAAGGCCTTCGATCTCATTTCGTATATATTTTAATATGTAAGTATTTAAGTTTAGGTATTTATTATTCCTTTTTATTGATAAAAAGTTATGAGAGTAAGAGATAAAAAGTCAGATGTTGTAGTTTTAATTTTATTAAGTCTTAAAATGTTTATTAGTCGATTGGTAACAGTGCTTTTTACATTAAATTGAAAAAACTTTCGGCATAAACAATGCGCCATTTAAAAAAAATACAAAAAAAAGAAGTGAAACTAGATTGAGGAATTTGTAAAGTATTTTACTAGTTACTACATTTATCTCTACATATGTATATACTCTTATTAAGATATACAATACACATATTATATAATAACATTTAAAAAATTTATTAAAAAAGATTTATGAAAATTGGTTAAAAATTATCGAGTCAAAGATTTCAAACTTTCTCCTAGTTATTTTTTTTCTAATATTAGGTACTTGTTAAATATTAAAAATTAAATTAATGATAAACCATAAGAATTTTATTTTAAAATATTGATTACAATGAATACCGATATAACTGTTGCTCTATAAGTTATCAGTAACAAGCGTGATTTATTTTTGATTACAATCGGTGTATGTATATTAATTAAGCAATTATCGACACGAGAAGAAGAAGAATCAAGCAATTAATATTCTACGAAATTGCGTTAGCCGTCGCTTATGTTAGTTGTCGCTATACATCGTGTAAAGTAGAGCAAAGTAAGAGTAGGATCTGGTCAAAATCTGAAAGAATACAAATCATATTTAACTGTGCAGTTACTAGGAATGCTAATTGTGACTCAATTAAAAAGTTCATCTGATTAGCTTTCTTATCTTAGGTTTTAACGTAATACAAAAAATATGTATAAAATTTTAGTAACTTTACTTCTCTAGTCTTAACTTAGATTCTGTGGCAAAATTGTATTTAATTTAACAAAAACTCTTTTAGTACATTTACTCACCGATGAATATGTTACAAGTGATATATTTGTAAATTTCATTGCAGTAAATGCTATTGGCTTATGACACCTAAAAAAGAAATATAAAGAATGAATATGCCGTTTGCGAAAGAAAAAACAAAAATTCCTCGTAAACACTTCCCTCAGTATGAGAAACAGTAAAGCGCGTTGACACTTGAAGACTCATTTCATACTACATACACGCTTTGTTTTGATTTAGATAGTAGCAACCAGACTATCGTGACCTTTCTTTTATAAATCAACCGATTTGGATGGTTAAAAAATTATATTAATAAAAAAAAATTAAAGTTTGAAATTCGTTAAGCTTTTTATTGTGATTTGTACGCAGGCAGATTGGCATACAGATGATTAAAAATTGTTGTTTTAAAAAAATATGTATAAGGTAAAAATAAAAACAATCTTTTACAGATTTTTTTTTAAAAACGTGTAAAAATTTAGTATGATTGCTCTACCTCAGAATAAGAAACAGTAAAGCGCGACGACAGCGAGGGCTCATTTTATACCAGTTGCTATTGTACACGGCAGCAGCTACATCACCATTCTTAAAATATTAAATACTTCATATAAGTAAAATATATTAAGGCTCATACGATTACGAAAATTACAAATACACAAAGACGTATACAAACCGCATGGAAAATGTCATCCGCATACCAGCACATTGCTCCCACTTGAAGAAGAGCTGATCCAAGAAACAATTTACTGCTAATAACCATAAAGGGTTCTAGTAACTAAAATAAGAAAGGTTATATATTTAGTATTTAAAATGATTCTTTAAAACGTTACATCGATATCAAAATCATTTAAAAACATAACAAAATTAAAAATATAAAAAAATCCTCTTTTTTGAAGTCGGGAAAAAGTTAATATTTTTATCTTAATCATTGAATTTTTTCAACCATAAAAGAGGAATATGTAACGTAGAGCGACCTACAATTATCTAAGAACATATTATACTCTTTTAAGACAAACTAAGAAGTTTAACAAGTATTATTAAAAGTTGTATAATTATTAATTTGTCATACAGTGGACCTTTGAAACCGATGGGAAATCCCATTGACAATAAATAAATAAAAGCTGATACATCAATTACAAACTTTTTACTTTCTAAAATGTGCTTCATAGGTTTTATTCCCTTTTGGACACCATTGTGGGGAGGTTTTTAAATATCTTTCCTTACAGTCATCAATCAAAAAAGTAGGTATTAAATATACGTGGTAAATTTTGAAATTGTTTAGAATAAAAACGTTGAATAAACGAAATCATGTATTTCTTACATTCAAAAAAATAAACAATAAATGAAAATAAAATAAATGCAATTAGCGACAAAAAATGTCCTCGCCGAATGAGCGCTCGTTTGAACATTTGAGCGTGCTTTTAATTTTTTTTGTGAAAACAAGTTATATGCATTGCATTTAAGGTTCAATTTATATTGTCGTATATTTATTTCAACTAGAATAATTACCTAAGCACAATTGGTGACAGTTTTAAGAGAACTTTTGCATGGGATTGTGTATCTATACTTTTTGATCGAAGCTTATAGTGCTCATATTCGTTATATAAGGATTTGTTGTGCATGCTATGTATCCCAGCGTTTTAAGCTATGCCTTATTCGTCAGTCAGATAATATTAACTAATATAATATAAATATTAAATATCATAAGATTTACGAAAATCGTTTGGTCATAGAATATATTACATACCACAATTACAAACATAGCACAGCAAATATTTATTGAACTCATTACAATGTTTATAAGATTGCACAGTGAAAAGGCATCTTCCAAATTGTTGCAATAGCTAAAATAAAAAATTGTAATAATATACATATTATGTACATAGAGTTTCATTGTAATGTACTTGCATGCTATCTCGTCCATATAGGAGCACCTATACCTAAGCACTTCGATCAACAATAATACTAGTATTGTTTATCGAAGCCTAAGCATTTTTTAAAAGTTAAAATGATATTCAGTTTCTTGTCTGCCGAAAAAATTTGAATATTAGAAAGAATTTTGCACATTACCCTTTTTACTGAGTTTCACTTAATATTGAAAGACTGAAAAATAAGGTTTTGTGTTAACAATACTTAAAAAAATACAATCTTCCTATTTGATTTGAAATATATTCTACTAGCGACTCACCCTTGCTTCGCTCGGGTTCGTCCCTAGCTTAATAAGGAGGTTAGGGCTAGAGGTTGCTCTAGAGAAGTCGAAGGCACTCTGTTTTCGCGGCGCTCGAAGAGCACCACCACCAGACACACATATTGTGGTGGGCGGAGTCCACATCGGCCTGTCGAGTACGATGAAGTACCTTGGACTCGTGCTCGACAGCCGGTGGAATTTCAAGGCACATTTTAAGGCTCTTGCGCCAAAATTGATGAAGACGGCGGGCGCACTTAGCAGACTGCTGCCGAATATAAGCGGGCCAAACTGCTCTAGTAGGCGCCTCTACCTGGAAGTCTTAAGGTCCATGGCGCTCTACGGTGCCCCGGTATGGGCTCTCTGCCGCGAAAATGTGGCTGTCTTGCGGCGTCGCAAAGAGTAATGGCGACAAGAATCGTGCGAGGGTACCGGACCATCTCGGGCGAAGCAGCGTGCGTGCTGGCTGGAGTATTACCCTGGGACCTGGATGCGCTTTCCTTGGCGTCGATCTACCGTCGGCGTCGAGACCATGCGTCCAGGAACCTCAGTCCAGACACGCACGAGAGCGAGGAGCGGGATGCCGCATTGGAAGGGTGGCTCAGTAGATTGGAGCACCCTTCGGCTGGACGTAGGACCATCGATGCCGTTCGCCCTGTCCTCAGGCAGTGGTTGGCGAGGCGTCACGGTGTCCTCACTTTTCGGCTGACGCAGGTCCTCACGGGGCACGGGTGCTTCGGCGGATACCTGTGCCACGTCGCCGGAAGAGAGCCGGATCCACGCTGCCACCACTGCCACGACTGCGTCGACGAGTCCGCCCAGCATGTGCTGGCTGAGTGTCCAGCTTGGGAATTGGAGCGCGAGGCGCTTCGCAGTGTTGTGGGGGCTGACCTGACGTTGCCGGCCGTGATTTCCGCCATGGTCGGTGACGAAAGGTCATGGGCTGCCGTCCTGTCCTTCTGCGAGGACGTGATGTCGCAGAAGGAGGCGGCGGAGAAAGAAAGGGAGGCGACTTCCGATCTCGCCATCCGCCGCAAGAGGACCGGGCGCCGGAGAGCGGCCCACGATCGCCGCCTCCCCCCCTAACACCGGCCAGAGGGCGGTAGACTTGGGGAAGTCTGCCGCCTAACAGCCTGGCCCGAGTAGGCGCGCGCGGTGTCCGCCGCGCGCCACCTCCAGAAGGGTAGTAGAGGGTATTGCTTCCACCCTCCGACACCGAGTCGTGCCGTTGGGCAATCGCCGTCGGGGTCGCGGTTGATTTCTTGGTTCCCGTGACCCCGACCCTAAGGCGAGTAAGGTGGACACCGTCAGGTTTTAGTGGGTAGGCTGCCGCGCGTTTACCATCTTGGCGCGGCAGGAGCCCCACATAACCCGTCGTTTTTCCCCAGGCGGCGGGTACCCGGCAACAGGGTTTCCTGACGTATAAAAAAAAAAAAAAAAGGGTTCGTCCCTAGCTTGATTCCCCATACAAACTTTCATCCCCATTTTCAACCCCTTAAGAGATGATTTTCGGGATAAAAAGTACCATATGTCCTTCCCAGGGTTTCAAACTATCTTCTTACCAAATTTCATCTAAATCGATTCAGTAGATCCAGAGATTACCTCTTACACCTTCACAAACTTTACCTCTTTATAATAAAAAAAAAATGTCAGGACATTAACTCACAACACCATCCAGTTCCATGGTAAGCTACGAGGCTTGTGTTATGGATACCAGATAGTAGATACATTATACATATATAACTTTAAATACATACATATTATAAATATAAATATTCATGACTTGAGTACAAACATTCGTATTCACCACACAAATGAATGCCTCCAACAGGACTCGAACCCGCGACCGCTGGCGCAGCAAGTAGGGTCACTACAAACTGAGCCAAACGTGTCATCAAATAATATTAGTATAGATAAAATAATCTTTTGACTTTCACTTATTTTGGTAAAATAACAATAAATATATTGGTTTTGGTAAGAAATGGAAAATAATATCATAAAAACAATTTAAAAAAATCTTAATATCGAGCCTTATAAGCGTTTGATGCAGTTTGATATTTGAACGTATTTCCTCATAATTTTCTTCATCAGTTTGTTTAATAGAGGCTAGTGACTCTAGGCGTCTTTGAAGTATCCGCATTAGTAGAGTAATATGGCTGGCCATTCCAAAAAATACTAAGTCTGAAGAGACCATAATCCAAACACACGTGACTCCTAAAAAACGAATATTTAGTTAACATTTGCATATTAATTTTAATAGGTATCTATTTGTACTTATCTTTTAACATTAACTTCCAAAATGTTATAAATCATATTTTTATTGAAATTATAGTCCGATAACATTACACATTCTTAGGTATGTATTATCGGGGAGCACGGCAGTGCCCCTACCAAGTCGAGCTTTTATTTACTGCATGTTATCTTTACTAATAGCGTAATCTATATATCTTAATATATAATTTTTCTGTACGTTTGTTTGTTAACCTACTCTTCCTAAAGGACTGGACCGATTTGGATGAATTTTTTTGTGTATATTTCAATGGGTTCCTTGATGGTTTGAAAATACAAATGGACCCAATAGGTGACGCTGCAGTGGTGTGTCACTGATCATCTAAACGGTAGGGACGATATTAATGATATTTTTTTGTGTATGATCGAGTGGGTCCCTGCAAGGTTTGAAAATACAAATGGACCCTGTATGTGGCGCTGCAGCCGGTGTGCTACTGATCATCTCCTAAATGGCAGGGACGATTATAATGATATTTTTAACATTAAATATGTTCTTTTTGTCGCTTCAGTATAGGCCCGATTTTTAGCGAAAGTGGGACATCGCTCTGATGTCGTGGATTTTGGGACTACGTGGTTGATTGGGATGTTAAAAAACGCGCCTGAATGAGGGCTACAAAATGCAAAAAAAAAATTGAAAACACTCAAAGGATTTTTTTATATCGAAAAAATGTGAAAAATGCAGTCGCTTTACGCTGGGTTTCGGTCAGAAAAAAAATCATATCTCAAAATGAAATATCGAAAAAATAAAAATAAAACCCCTAGAGATATGACTTCGGGCTACATTTAAAATAAAATTGGATGTGCATATCACTGATGGTTTATTCAGAAGTGGTACCTTTGTGACGCTGAGTTTACGCGAGGAGAGTGTGAGAGCGCGATAATGACGGTGAAAAAATGTTTTGGAGCAATATGATTTTGTTCTTGAACCAAAGTGCTTCTTTGTGAATAAATAAATATGTATTTAAACTAATAACTAACTAATATTTATACATATAATAAAACAGTAACGAAGCGTAATTTATATGTGAAATATTTTTTCAAAACAATGACGGTAACGTATTGTGTCCAAACACAAACAATGATTATGAAAAATTTTGTCTGTTTGTCTGAATGTCTATTTTCTGTATGTCTGTTTGTCTGTTTGGATGTGCGCGTTTCACGAAAAAAGTACTGAACCGATTTTACCTAAATTTTGTGTACTGATAACTTATTACTTGGGTTAGGATATTTAAGATATCTTTTACTGCAGGAAAATAAAAGGGAGAGGAAAGGAGCGGAGCGGAGAGGAGCGAGAAGAGAGGAGCCTGTTGTTGAGATTTGGCCTGTCTTTTGCAGTTCTTTTTCGCAAATCTTCGCCGGTCTACTGCGCTTGTCTTCTTCGCCTGTCTTCTCCTCTCCTCTCATCCCCTTTCCGCTCCTCTCCTCTCCTCCCCCTTTTCTCTTTAAAAAAACAAACAAACATTTATATTATATATTTATGTTTATTTATTTGTTTGTTTCTGTGACTGTTTCTTTAACTGTTTGTTTGATTAACGGCTAGTTAGTTTAACTGTCAGTTAACTTAACTGCCAGTTAGCTTAACTTTCAGTTAGTTTAACTATCTGCCTGTTTAACTGTCAGTAAATTTAACTATCAGTAAGTTTTTTTAACTGACAGTAAGGGTAACTGTCAGCAAGATTAACTGTCAGTTTTATGAACGGCTAGTGAGTTTAACTGCCAGTTAATTTAACTGTCCGTTAGTTCAATCTCCAGTTAGATTAACTGTCAGTAAAGTAACTGTTAGTAGGAATAACTGACAGTTTTATTAACGGCTAGTAAGTTTAACTGTCAGTAAGACTAACTGTCAGTTTTATTAACGGCTAGTAAGTTTAACTGTCTGTTAGTGTAACTGTCACTTTGTTTAACTGACAGTTTGTTTAACTATCAGTAAGTTTATCTGTCTGTTCGTTTAACTGTCAGTTATTTTAATAACCAGTAAGCTTAACTGTCAGTAAGGTTAACTATCAGTTAGATTAACTGTCAGTAAGATAAACTGTAAGTTAGATGAACTGTCAGTTAGTTTAACTGTCTGTTCGTTTAACTGTCTGTTCGTTTAACTGTCAGTTATTTTAACTACCAGTAAACTTAACTGTCTGTTTGATTTACTGACAGTAACGTTAACTGTCGCTTAATTTAACTGTCAGTTAGTGCTTATATTTAATTATAAAAAAATCAAAATTAAAAAAAGTATCGTAATTTACATCTAGATCGTCATTATATTAAAATTCTTCACAAGAATGTACAAGTATATAGGTTAACCGCTACGTGTTTTATATGCGCGTAATACGTAAATCTAACAGTAGCACGTAGTATAAATAGACAAAACTACTCCAGATTATCTATTTGACAACTATACGTCTAATATAAGGCTTAAAAAAAGAATAAAGCTTTGTCTTACCAGCGAATGTTTCAAAAAGGTAGACAGCAACATGTGTAAAGGGTTCATATTTGTCAAAAGGGTACCAAGACACCCACACGAAGCCGATTTGAGCATCCTGACCTTGCCATACTTGGAAAAAATAGACAACTATTGGCGTCAAGCTATAAAAGCATACTCCCAAAATACTTACTGAAAAATACCCTAAAAATAAACTTAAAAATTACAAGGGACAATATGCAAAGTACAAAGTAACACAAGTAAAGTAGAGTAATGTAGAATATGTAATAAGCAAAACAACTTACAGCGATGGCTAATACGTGATGCAGTCAAACTTTTTTGTTTGATTGCTAAAGCATCTTCATCGAGAGGAGGCATCGGCCATATTCCAGCGAGTTCGTCAATCAGCTCCGCAAAAACTGTATTTTTATACCAGAGAACGAATACTTTTGCGATACCTGGTGTTTATAGTATAGTAAACCATATACATATATATATATATATATATATATATATATATATATATACATATATATATATATATATATATATATATATATATATATATAACCAAATAGTACCTAGATTTTTGTTTTCTAAATACTTACAATGTAAAAAAGTGACCATTGGTTTAACTACTTAAAAGGTGAGTTGCACAACCTTTTGCATATCTTGTTTTTTACATTGTACATTCCGTTGACGGCAAATTTTACCTTTTATTTAAAGTTGGGAAATGTATGTAATGTAACCATCTGTATACATTTATGTGGTTATGTGGGACTCACTGGCTAGAAAAGCGAGTACTACCCTTACCCACTAAATCCTAATAAAACCTCCCCCGTCTTAATACTTAATAGGGCGTCGCGGGATTGCTTACGTACTCAACCACGACGTCCTAACGGTAGGTCTGCCGAAGTAGACCACACAACCAAGGGGTTGCTCCCACGGTCCACTATGCCGTCAGAGATGTATCAGGAGCAATCCGCATGGTACACCGCCCACCGAAGTGGGCCACCTACCAGTGCATTTCTTTTTTTCACGCCTGGGTGGCTTGCCGGATGCTAATTAGCTCCCCCACCACGATAAGGTGAACGCACTTGGGGACGACGACAAATTTTACCCGCAGTAAGAAAAATTCAAAACCAGTGGCAGTAATTTTGTAAACCAAATATAAAATTACATAATCGATCACATTTATTAATGAAAACATTTGTAATAAACACAATAACAGTTAGAGATCTTCAATAGTTAGTAAAAAATCTTACTCAAAGCGCCGTAACCAAAGGTATGAAAGAGCGGAACGACATCTTCGACACGAGGTGAGTTGGCGAACGTGACGAATATGTTAATTAATTCAGTAGAAACGTGAATGCAGATACTGCACATGGATAGCACGAAATTAAGTTTTTGGCGAAAGTAAGCTGCAGTATTCTGTGGTTTATTAAAAGATAAACCTATACGTCTCATGGTGAAAGTGCTCAGCATTAGTGACTCATCGATTTCCATTTTTGCAGATTTTCTCGTAGCTTCATCCATTTTCATATGTACTTCTTGAGTTCAATATTGGTTTTAATGTATTCTCGGCAACAATATACTTCTAACTACTTACAATTTCAGTATTTTTAAAGGATTTAATAAATATCTATATATAAAATATTATGTTTATCTGGCTGCTAATTGCATTTTTTTTTTTGGATTTTATAAGATCATGATCATTAATGTAAAAATTTTTTAATAAATACTTATAAGGTCCAGTTCCATGTTACTTTAGTTGAACAATATGCGCCATACATTTATAACCAGTATTATTTTAATATTCATGGAAAACAAGGATGTCTGTGTGTCACTCTGTCTTTGGCGCACGCAAAATGTTCAATAAAAAAATCATTCATAATATTATTCGTCAGACAAAGTCAAAAAATGTATTAGTACATTGAAGTAAACATGGAGGTGAGTTTTAAAAGTTTACAAAGTTCGAAATTTTATTATTCAAAAGACAAGGTGTGATAGACTGATACCGCCTACTTTATTGTTTAAAACGTAGTAAACTTATGTTCTTTAAATTATTAAGTAGATAAGTACCTAGATCTAGTCAAGGTACCGTTGTTCTTTGAATCACATTAAATTTTCCCTATTTTATTTTTTTAATTAAGTACTTATATTGTAACAGGTTAGACATACATCCATATCCATACTAATACTATAAATGTGGAAGTTTGTGAGAATGGAAGGAAGGATGGATGTTTGTTCCCGTGGGATAATTTGTTTTTGTCTAGGGACGAACCCGAATTGAAGCGAGCGAGTGAGCAAGTCACTAGTTTCTTTAGGATATGAAATTGTTAAATAAAACTAAAAATCTTTAATTCACCAAAACTACAAGCCCTAAATAAAATATTTACAAAAACAACAAACCCGACTGCGTAAAAAGTACATAAACTAAAAAGAAGAGAACAAGCTGACGAAGGAACACAGTATTATGCAGTCACGGACATACATATATACATGTGTTAGAAAAGCTATGTGTCACTTCTGCAATGCTACGGACGATGCAGGCAGCAGGTTTGACTGAAAGATATTTTTTGCTATATCTTTTAAAAGGTCAATGGACATAATATTATGTCGCTTGTTTCCAATAATGAACAAATACGCACAAAAGATGTAGGCTGCAGTTTAGAATAGGGGACGTGGCCCCTGGCGGAGTGGGTGGTATTTTTGGATAGGGCAGCTAATAGGGAGTCCAAATATATAAAAACACAAAAGAGTCAAAAGTTATTGAGACTTAAAGTTACAACATTTCCATACATTATTTTGACATTACTACGATTTAGACACTTGGAAATTTCAAAACGTCACTTTCAATTGTCAAAACGATCTCCAGATGATTTGTACTTTGCGTGAAATTTGAATTTTCTAGTTTTCTAGTCATTTATGGCATTCGCCGGCCGCTACCGCGGCACGCTCGCTTTGCTCGCTCGGCTCGTGCGTTGTGGTAACTGTTCTAACCCTTTTTTTTTTCTTTTTTTTTAACGTTGGGAAATGCATTTACGCACGACGTGTGGGACTCACTGGCGTAATACAACCAGTACTACCCACTAAAACCCAACAAAACCTACTCCCGTCTTAATGGAGCGTCGCAGGATCGCTTACGCATTCAACTACGATGCCCCGACGGCAGGTCTGCCAAAGCAGACCACCACAACCATGGGGTTGCTCCAAGGTCCACTCTGCTATCAGAGAAGTACCAGGAGCAACCCGCAAGGTACACCGCCCCCCGAAGAGGGCCACCTCCCACCGCCCACCGAAGTGGGCAACCTCCCTGTGCGTTTCTTAGCTTCGCTACTACTACTGAGCCCCCCCACCACGACAAGGTGAACGCACGTTGGGGGGGAACTGTTCTAACCTAAACTAACCAAGATATGACGAATAATAAATAAATAATCTTAACTGTTCTAACCTTTTTTTTTTTATAGTTGGGAAATCCTATTACGGATACCACCCGACTTCCCCCGGGGTGGTTATGTGGAGACTCTCCGGCTAATGAGACCGGCATACCCACTAAAACCCAACTTTCACTAATTAGTAATCACTTATTTAGGTAAAGAAATGTATGGAAATGTGTTAGATATGTTATAACTTTAAGTCTCAATAACTTTTTACTCGTACGTTTCCTCCAAATATTTTTAATATATTTTGACTCTCTGTCACCTCCCCTATCTAAAAATACCACCCACTCCGAATGGTGGTAAAGAAATATATGAAAATGTATGGAAATGTTGTAACTTTAAGTCTCAATAACTTTTTACTCGTACGTTTCCTTAAAAAAATTTATTTAACATTTCGACTCCCTATCACGTCCCCTATTCAGAAATACCACCCACTCCACCAGGGGCCATGTCCCCTATTCTAAACTTGTGCCAAGATGTAAATTATGCGCATTTAAAAATGTGTTATATGTATTAATATAAGGGGAATAAATTTCTTTGAAAATATAAGTCATAAATAATGACTAGATAATCACAATGAAAATCGACGATTACGATTAATCGTGAAATGTCGATAATGGTCAAGCTACTCAAGCTATATATAGTGATATATCACAGATAAATAATTAATGGTGAAAATTGACCACAGATCAGTAAGCTTTATCTATCTATGGCTCCAACTTCCACACATGTGACATGACACAACACCAATTCCCATTGACTTAGCCTAACAATTTCCAAAGTGTCAACCATACATGAATGGTGTAAACATAACCTCAATTGTAGTAATAACATTATTCATAAAAATAATATGTTATATAGGTTATTTTACAAACTAATATTCACTTAACAAATTGTAAACTGAATAACCTTAAATATGTCGAACACTGATGATAAAATAAGAGTTGGGGATTACATTGTTATAAAAAAACAAAATTATAAAAAAATACATAAATTTAATAAAACAAGTTCTTCAGTAAACATTGGTAAAGATACAGTAAATTTAAGTGGTATAGAAGATTGTCCCTACTTCTCTATATTTCGAATGATACCAAAGGGTACGAAAAGACATAAAGAATATAATTTAGAATTATCTAAAGAAACCGTTAACCTTATTGAAGAAATCAGCTTAAAAACATCTGGTGCAGATAATAGAAATATATATGATGATGGTAGATCACAAAAATTATCTGCAATTGAGATTGATGAACTTAAAAGTGAATCTGCAAGAGCTTCTGATATCGTAGAAACTTTAATAACTAATTCAAACACTTTTAATAATAAAACCGGCTTTGCCCAAGAGAAGTATTTGAAGAAAAAAGAAAAAAAATATTTTGAATATATTCAGATCATAAAACCAAATTTGAGAACAATCGCTGAAATATTATATAAGTTAGAGCCAACTAAAGTGCAGGGTATTCGTATAGATACTTTGTCTCAAATTATAACTTATTCTAACATAAGTAGTGAAGGTAATCATTTGCTCTATGATTCTGGTTCTAATGGACTGCTTGCAGCTGCTTTATTGAGTGCTATGGGTCCAAAGGGGGAAGGAAAATTAATACACATGCATCCAGGCAACATGTCACAGAAACAAGCATTATTAGCTATGAACTTCAATGTTGAACAATATAACAAATGTATATCTGTTAATGTTTATTCTGTGTTAAGGCAAAATTATCAAGGTTCTGATACAAATTCATGTGATTTAGATAGTGTAGGTAGTTTAAAAAGAAAGGCTTCTGATAATTTAATTAATGATAGCAAAATACCGAAGCTTAAAGAATCAGAACATGTATCTTGTGAAAATGATGAAAAGTATGAAGAAAACACAGAAACAGAAAAAAAGAAACCTAAATGGCACTTTGATAACATAAATGCTTCTGAAATTTTATCAAATAAAGTAGACTCTTTAGTGATTGCTTGTAAAGAAGATCCTCACAACATATTTATGGAACTTATTAATTTTGTAAAGCCCGGAAGACCATTTGTAATATTTTACAGTGTAGCTGAACCCTTGCAAAACTTGTATGTGATCCTGAAATCTGTAAGTAAAGTAGCTGCTCTGAAATTAACATGTAATTGGATGAGAAATTATCAGGTTTGTATGCACTAATATTTTCCAAATAAATTTAAATTCTTAAATCTTATTAATTCTTTTCTTGCTAAATTTTGTTTCAGATTCTACGTGAAAGAACACATCCAGAAGTTACTATGAATGGATCTAGTGGTTTTTTATTAACTGGATATGTATTAAAGTGAATTTTCTATATTTTTATATACATGTTTACATGTGTCAAATAATGTACAGGTAACATCATAAAAAATAAATATCTCACATAGTAGTAACAAGCATTTCTTTAATCATATAAATATCTTACAAATTAAAAAGAACATCAAAAACTGTTATCTCTAAATGTACATATTTAAAATAATTATTTCTAGCTGTCCAATTTCCAAGGCAAGCTTTATTTCTACAGTAATTTTTTATTTAAACATTCAGATAATGATAATACTCCTATTATAACAATAATTTTTGTTTATGAGATATGAACAATTTTATCAATATCTAAGATAATTTCGACAATTATGATTATGGAGGGTATAATATTATTATCATGTTAATTTCATATATTAATATAAACCTATATGTAAACTAGAGACTCACCCTCGCTTCACTCTGGTTAGTCCCTAGCTTGATTCCCCATACAAACTTTCGTCCCCATTTTAACCCCCTGAATGATTTCTGGAATAAAAAGTATCATATGTCCTTCCCAGGGTCACAAACTATATTCTTACCAAATTTCATCTAAATCAGTTTAGTAGATTCAGAGATTACCTCCTACAACGTCACGAACTCATAATATCACAAACTATACCTGTTTATAATAGCCCGAGAGCTGGTGACGATTTTGGAATGGTCCTTTTGGCAAGTTAAAATTGTGAAAAAATATAATTTCGTCAATTGGCGAGTCCAGTCCCGCGAGTCTGGTATAGCGTTTGCGGTTATTTCGTTACTGCGCAGTATATAAAATTTGCAAAAAAAAAAACAAAACATTTTTGGCAACTTGATTTTTGTTTAATATTTGGCCTGCCATAAGGCGCCAAATCGCCATTTTTTCAATATGGCGGCGCGAGCGGCAAAGATACGAGGTGACTAAATTGAAATTCAGAAAGAGCACATCGAAATCTATAAATATAAATAAATATATGTTTGGACTATAACACACAGCGCCATCTAGTTCCATGGTAAGCTACGAAGCTTGTGTTATGGATACCAGATAGTGGATACACTACACATATATAACTTTAAATATACTATATGACTAAAGGACAAACATTCGTGCTCATCACACAAATGAATACCCCCAGCGGGACTTGAACCCGCGACCGCTGGCACAGCAAGTAGGGTTACAACAAACTGAGCCAAACGTGTCAAGTTGGCTCAGTTTGTAGTAATAAAATCGCCAATTTTCAAAACTCCCGGAAAACTTTCCAAGTAACCTCTTTTTTTAAGCACGAAATGATTGTACTGTACTATATTATATATGTTAATTATGAAATAGGAAATATGCGTGATTTTTTTTACTTTTTTTATATAATAGCTTAAATCTTTATATAATTGTAAAAAAAATATATTCAGCTCCAAAAAAGTAACATTTAATATAAAGAATTCTATACCGATACGGATACTTAAACTGCCCACCATTTCGCGCGCTTGGCGTGACGTCAAAGTATGATATAACAGAGCCAGTGCTGCTAATTCAGCGCTAAATATTACGACTTTTGGAAATAGTCGTTATTTTTTAGCGATAAATTGGCGCACTGGCTCTGATAAATTATACTCCAAAAGTCGTCATGTTTAGCGCTAAATTGGCAGCACTGGATCAGTTATATCACACTTTGACGTCACATTCGGTTTGACAAATGGCGTTGCGTTTAACTACTTTCCCACCTATATTTGAACTTTTTTATAATTACTTTATAAATCTAAAAGAATTTACATAAAAAAATATGATTCAAAAGCAATTTTTTGCTATGCTATATAAATGCATATGAAATGATATATGGTATTTACGAGTATAAAAAAACACGATTTTTAAAATTTTTGTCTGTTTGTTCCGGCTGATTTCCGAAATGGCTGGACTGATTTTTATCGGGACTTTCACTGGTAGATAGAATGACTGGTACATAGAATGCCTGGCAAAAAGAATTAGGGTCCCCCTAGGGATAATCTAGGGACCCCAGCGAAGCGAGAGAAAATCGCCAGTATCATAATAAACTAATACATTTTGGTTCAAAGATTGTGTTCCACTTTAATATTTTTCAAATGTGTTTATGTACGTGATGTAGCAGGGCAAGGTTGAAATCTAAACGAAAATATGGTGCTGTTATTTTTGTTCTTTAAATTTCAAGGGAAATAATTTTTTTTTTTACAAATAAGATAGTCATGGGAGACTTGAAATAAAACAAACATAATAAAAATCATTTTATAATAAATAATTTATTTTATAAGCAAATAAATCTTTAGATCGCTTCAATAAAACACAGGATATAACAAGATACAGCTTTGATGCTTCAAATAATAAAGAAAGCATTTGGACATATCAAATCGGCTTGGGTATCTTTACACTTTTAAGGTTACTTATAAAGAAATAAAATCGAATTATATTACTCATCTATTTTTAGTAAAGGAATGTGTATCAGTCTAGATTTCTTTATCTTCTAATGCATAAAAGATATTTGACAAAAATAATAAAACTACAATATTCGAGGAACTCCATTAAATTTAACAAAACTACAGGAATTGATCTTTTAATTTGGCACAATTAATAAATCCACTGCACAATTTTGTTTTTCTATGCGCCGTATTATATTGAAGCAAAATCAATTAATTTAATGTTTAAAAAAAAGCAGTACATGTAAGAAATATTCAATGTATGTATATATATATAATTTTCTTGTGCAACTATGGATAATTTTGAGTATTCTTAATTAGTTTATATAACGTATTATGTATTTCTTTTCACTTGCCAATTTTTATAATGTTCTTTTTCATCAGACGGATTTTTTTAGCAATGCCTTTCTATACAAATGAATAAAGTATGATTTGTAGTGATTGTATTGAATGATATGTTACATTTAACGATCAGTTTCTACTAAAACATATGCAAAGATGTAAATGGTGTTTAAATAAATTAATTACAGAAACTAAATAATAATATGTGTAAAATATAAATTATAAAAGTTCAATAACCTAGTTGTTGTCACCTATGATGTTGGAGATATGCACCATTTTACGAGCCCAAAGCTAGTCAGTGAAGCCCTATTGTTATCATACTGGTATATTTTATATAACTTACATAAACAGCTTTCAGCAGCCGTTCCTGTTTCTCGACACTTCTCTCCCGATGCAGTAGGCCTCTAGGAAATGCGTGTTAAGCTACTTAAGACTATAAATCTAATTTCAAGCCATAAATAAACACAGTTAAAAAAATATATACTAGTGGCCTACAATGCAGTGTTGGAGATCGTTTTTTCTTTCATAAGATTAATAATTTAAATGCATATAAATTTCTCGGCCGATCATATAAAAAATAAACCTAAATAATACTAGATAAAAACTGGTTTTACAGCCACATAAATACTAATTAAGGCTAAATCTCTTAAAGAATATAATATAATAGTTTGCATAGAGAAAATAAATAGAGAATTCATTTAATGATTATCAACATATTACCTATCTGAAGACATCAGTATAAAAACGGGAACATCAACAATTATACTGCATCACAATAATTTGTATGAGTGAAAGTTTTTTAAGATTGAACACACATGTGCAGTATTGTTTGGATAATTTATATTACATATACTATGGAATAACTTTGGTATAGGTGTCAATATGAAGGCATGCGTAGTGAGGCGTTCAGGCGCCGGCGAGCTTCGTGCGGCTGTGACGCGACTATGACGAGTCTTCATCGTACCATGAACGGAAATCACATATTTCATCGTAGTCATCCTATAATAAATAACATATTTTCCTTGAAATTGACTATTCATTCAAATGTATTTATCGAGTTGACTTTATATCGTAATAAGTTTATTATATACATATATTGTACATGTAATGCTGTAAGAAATGACTTTACCTATACTACAGGAGTTGGCTGACACAAATATTTTATTAAACAATATCGCTAGTTTCAATAGAAAAATTAATAATGACAGGCACCAGTAGACCTAAAAGAGTTCCTTTTATTTATCATAATAAAATTTTCATTAATCAAGCACATCCTCAATATCGAAGAGTAGTTAGAGCAGAGATAGTAACACTTTGGTTAGGAGCTCCATAGCATTCGCTGATACATGGCGGTACAGGAAACGGGAAACTACAGCCGCACAGAGAGAATTTTTGCATCAGATATAACATAACTAAAAAAAAGCCAGTCAACCAACTAACCGACATCCATGCGTGATCGAGCACGTCCTCGGCGGCGAAGCGCAGATCGGGCTGTGGGCGCAGCATGTTGGCCACGAGGTCGATGGCGCCGGCCGACACGCGCTCCCAGTGCGGCGCGGGGAACTCCAGCCGCGCGGACAGGATCGCGTCGAACAGCTTCTCCTGATCGCCGTCCGGGGACGAGAACGGCGGGAACCCGCACAGCAGGATGTACAGGATCACGCCCGCCGCCCATACGTCTATCTGAATGTTCATCAAAACATATTAACAAATAATCTCTCGTGACAATGATTGCTGTAAAGCATTCGAAACGTAGAGAACCAAAATTCAACATAAATCCGCGAAATAATCGGAAAAGAGAGTTTTATTTAAAATGTCAAATATTACCGTAAATCTAAGAAAGTATTAAATATAGAATTGCATACACAGTATTTCAGATTACTATTATAATTAATGCGACTGACTCGTCAATTATAATAGTAGGGTACATCATACATTATTCACACTGAAACATTTGGTTGGATTTTAATGAAATTTACTGTGACCAGAAATAACAGATAAGCTAAGTAAATTTAGTTAGTAATAAATTTAGGGTAAAAAATACAGACTGTTACAGAATATTCTATGGTAATATTAAAAGTACAAAAATAAAAAGACAAGTAGGGACGCACCAACCAAGGGCAAATCGCTAGTGTACACATACAAATATAAAACAAATCGTATAATATTTCATGACTCATGGCTATTACTGTTGACATATACTATGACATCACAACTGCTTTTTAATATTATATTTATAAGTACTGGCTGTGATTTCATCCGCGTGAATCCGCTTCTCATATTTTGCATTAACTCATATTGCAACTAAACACAATAAAATTATAATCCTATGAACTCCATATGTAGTTTCGTATTGAGTAGCTATCTCTATGCAACAAACGAACACTAATTAAGGAGTATATATTATAATAAATAAAATAATATAAATTGTATTCAGCCCATTTAACGTCCTACTCCTGAGCGCGAGCATCATATCAATATGGGTGTAATCAGGACATAGTCTACCACACTGGCCAAGTGCGGGTTGGCTAGACTTTACATGTGTATCGAAAACTTGCTAGGTTTTCTTAGGTTTCCTCATGAATTGCCTCATTGCCTACCGGTACTTGGCCAGCCTGGAGAACTCTTCGTCCCCAATGACCATCAATTATGCGATCGATATACCCCGTGGCAGTGAGAGTTATATAAATAAAACAGATAATATTATATATCTAACCTTCAATCCATAGCCAGTCTCGAGCAGTATCTCGGGCGCGACGTATGTGGGCGTGCCGCAGACGGCGTGCAGCGGCCGCCACACCTCTACCGCCAGCCCGAAGTCGGCCAGCTTGAGCCCGCGTATACTGCCGTCTGATCCTATTTCCACCTGGAATTGTATTATGAATATGTTGTGTTTTACAATTTATATATTTTTGTGTGTACAACTCAAGGAAAACACTTGTCTTGCTCATAGAAGAATTATTGAATTTGGCCAGAAATTAACGAATATATTGAAATAGCTGTGTAAATATATTTCACTGTTACAAATGAAACATAAAAAATAATTTTTAATTAAGATATATTGTAATCATTTTTTGAAGTGAAAACTTCTATAGGTATGTTTGGATGGGGAGTAAATTTATGTAAGTAGTCATCGACATGGTCACGTGACGTTTTGTGCCGATAGATGTCAAAACCAGATAGGTAAATGTAAACAGTTTTAATTTACAAATTTTTATTTAAGATCAAACAATTAATTTGAATATCCAAAAATAACAACTGTTTGTTTATAGTTTTAAGTTTTCACTTCCGTTGGTAGTCTCATGACGGCTTTTTTTTATTATAATATTATTTATACATGGTATGATTTGATTGACAAAGGACCACATCACATATCTTTGTCCTATTAAGAATATTCCTGCTTTATAGAGTACTTAAAGATATACTAATAACTGCATTGAGATATAATCAGGTAAAAACAAATACTAATTAATATTATAAAACATTTAACAATGGAAAGTAGTTAACTTACAATTGAAGAGAACATAATATACTAATAAAATTTGCATGGCTAACTACTCCCAAGGACCACGTGATATTTACTAGGGATTATTTTAGTAATAATATATTATATTATGGATGTTAAGTGGATATCTTACCAATAGGTTTTCGGGTTTGATGTCTCGATGCACGATAGAAAGCGAGTGTAGGTATGCAATAGCTGATGTTAGGTGGCCTATTAGCAAGCGCGCTTGCGGCTCGGAAAATTTAGATGCGGCTGCGATACTATCGAAAAGATCGCCACCTAAAAATATATATAGATTTTTAATTTACATATTTAGATTTTTTTATTTCTTATTAGCGATTATAGTTCAAATATTCTTGTTTTTCATTCAATACCTGTAAGTTTTTATTACTTTTTACAACTTTACTTGAAATACCCATGTTTTTTATTCGAGGTAAACATTTTTATTTGAAAATAATCATTAATCAATACAATTTATTAAGTACAATCTAACTTGTACTGTATGACATTGGCTCACGTATCGCAGTGTAGGACGAAAGTGAAAGTTAGGGGGAGTTATTCATGAGTCGTTATTGAATGAGTATAGCTAATAAAGAACTTACCGCCGACGAGTTCCATGATGAGGAACAACCATTCAGGGCTATCCTGGTCTTCGATGAGGGAGACGATGCGAGGATGGCAGAGCTTTCTCATCACCCGCACCTATACAATATAATTAGTATTCTATATATTCTCTAATATTGACGTTGATACATCTGGCCGGTTTAAGGTAAAAGCATCTGGGTGACCAATCTTTGCTGGTTGTTTGTCAGGATAGATATAAAAATCGCGATATTTCAGAAAAGACATCTATATAGACAAACTTAAAAGCGAAACTTTATGAAAATAAAAAATTTGATCCATTCGTTACAATAGTTTCCAAGATATACAAAATTAGTTTATCGTTTAAAATTATAGAATTAGTACACATATGGGAACTGTACACATGTGGGGTTACTGTTAGGTAATCTGGGAAGCCTCGAGTGAAGCGAGTGTAAGACAATAGTATATACATAACTTATAACATTCCTGAATAAATACACTACAAATTGGTAAAAATAATTTTTGAAATCAGACTGTTAGTTAGAGATAAGAGCTTTCAAACTTTCCTTTTCTGATTCTAATTTCAGTATTTTGAACTTAAAATGTTGCTTTGTATTATGTTGTTTTAAATAAGAATCTTAGAGAATCTTGAAACCATTGAAAAAACAAATATGTAGTTAGTTACAAAACGTGTATCTTGACTTACTAAAAAAAGTAAAGAATTTGTTTATGGTTTGCTATCTTGAAGATGAATCTATTTATATTTTAACTATAATTTTTTATCTATTATTTATCCATATTTTTGTTTAACTTACTTCTGCCTCTACATAATGTTCTTTGCCTTTACACTTTGCTTTGTCTATAACTTTGAGAGCATATTCTTTTCCAGAAGTTTTGTCCTTACATATTCGTACAACAGCAAAGTTACCATCACCTGAAAAAAAGTAAATTAAATATTTTTCTTTAAAAACCAATATTTTTTATTATTTTTGTTACATAACAACAAAATAAAATCTTTAATATTGCATAATTGTAATATGTTAATGAATATTTTCTTAGATATACGAGAATATTTGAAATTTTAAATAAAACTTTCTTTTTGCGAAATTATCTTCCAAAAAAATAGTTTTATTTGAAGTATTTTAAATACATATATAATAATATATTTATCTCAATCCGTCTCAATGAAATTACCAATTGCATAGAAGATATTGTAGTGCACAAGTTTAGTATGCGCGAGTACACAACATGCACTTTCTATTCCTTTCACTCTCTTTATTGAGACAATTAGCCGATAAGTAATCAGGCGCAGGACAGACAGCGTTCTGAGTTTTTCGAGGCACGGAGATTTAACACCGCCAACTTCAAAACTCCGGGCCGTTACTGACATTTTCTTTACAGAAAAACTTAACAGGTCCGACCTGGGATTTGAACCCAGGACCTTCTACCTTATATACGTAGCATAGCCACTAAACTATCGAGACAGGAAGTCTAGTCTTTTGATATACTCAGCCAATTAAAAGAAACTTAGCTATATATAGTTCAGACTAATAACATCCATACAACAATAGACATCCCATTAAGAACTTCATAGCTGATGATGTGCTCTAGTGGAGCGCGGTTTCAAATTATAGACATTTACATTCAGATGATTTGAAAAACTACAAATTAATATAGAAAACAAAATATAGTTTTGAAAATTATTAGGGATGGAACATTTCACGAGTAGCAAGTGAAAAATCACGTGAAATGCGTAATCATACGTCACACCTGCTACTTAAATTCATAGTGGCTGCTACAAATCACAACTTGGTGAAATCTAGAGCTGTAGCAAACCATATGTATTCGTTACTGAGTAACGGGTACGCCATCTAGTACCGAGTACCGAAACGTTACTCACGAATGCATTTCGTTACTCGCATTTTCCGTATACATTTTCGTACTGATGTTTTTATTGATTTTTTATTCAACAAAATACAATTTTCAGTTAATACCGTTGATCAGTAAATTGGGGAGTTTATTTATTTCGAGTTGCATAATTTCGGATTCTTAGAAATATTGTTTAGAAATAATTTTAAATTAGAAACAACAATTAAATTTAGAGCACATTTTTAGTTTTTTATCCAACAAATACTTATAATTTTTACTGAATGATTATGTGTAATACGTACAGACATAACCACCAACGCTGAGAACGAGCTAGAAATGTTTATTAATGAACCAGTGCTTCCGCGCGATTCTTCGCCATTAGTTTGGTGGAAATCTCACTCCTATATGTACCCCAATTTGGCGGAAATATTTCATGAGCACTGTCACATCGTGGTGACATCAGTGGAGTGTGAGAGAGTATTTTCAAAAGCGGGAAATTTTGCAACCCAAAAAAGAGCACGATTAAGCAGAAAACGAACAGCGGAACTTGTATTTTTAAAAAGCAATGAAGACTATTGTATATAGATATCTCATAAAAAAATCAATCATCAAAAAAATCAAAAAGCAAAAAAAATGATTATAAACAAATTAAAAAAATTAAGAAAAACAAAAAAAAAGTGTATAAAATTCTTTTATAAAAATTCTTATTGTACATAAAAACAATGAACTTTTAAATACGCCAATGTAATTATGGAACTTAGCTTAATACAATTTTACCGTGTGATTACTCTGATATATTTAAAATTCATTTAATTTTACATTGTCAGTCCCAAGCCTGTAGAAGTATGAGGGAAAGTTCATTGTTTGAAAATAGGTTCATTCAAAGCACCATGTACGTATGCAACTACGTCAGATCTATATCTCTGCTCCATATCACATCAGTAGCGCCATTGGTGACATTTCATACTTCATTTTAATAGCAAATAATATAAAGTGTGACACCAGACCGTCGAAATCAAAAATCTATGCGTGAAAAGTAGCAGGTGAAATCACGTGAAAAATTGTTGTAATTTCATCACGTGATAATGATTTAAAAGTAGCAATCATTTCCATGCTTAAAAATTATAGTCTCTATATACTCAGTACCGTCCAACAAACACTTTTTAACTTCAATAATTTGTATAGATTATATATTTTTTTCACTATGTCTTTATGTCTCTGACATTTTTATACTTTATTTGTTTATCAAATGATAGGATGTCCAGTTTTTGTGGAAATAAAAGGATGTATCCTTTTTTCATACTTGATGCATTATACATTTGAATTATAATTTTTAATCTTATTGATAGTCAGTGAAAGAACAATAACAAGTTGGCAGCACGCAATTTTGCAACACAATGTGCATAATTATCATACAATTATGATATAAGCATAGTAAGCATAACTAATCTTAATGACTTATTACTTTTTAAATGATGTTCTGTTATTTATAACTTTTGCATGAAATTAAAAAACAATCTATATTTAATGATTTGAGGCGAATGTACGTGATATTTATATAGTGTTGTGTGGACAGCCCCCTGCGCAGAGGATGTTTCAGCGATGTAGAATCAGTCGAATGCCGCTACGCTTAACTTCTCGTCATAATGAAATCCTCGGACCAATGATGTCGCTCCGCGAAGCCTGTGAAGTTCCTAAGAAACTTAGGCTGGCTGAACTAGCCAGGATTCGCAACGTACAACGGACCAAATGCAAGTCTAAATACGGAAAACGAGTCCAATTTACATTTATTAGTGTTAGTGGTGTGTTAAAGGCAGTGGTAGCCCAGTGGTAACGCGCTCGCTTGGGAAACCGAGTGAAGCGGATTCAAATACCGGGTCTCGCATTTTTAACATGATTACCACTTGCCTTACGATGAAAAAAAAACATCGTGAGGAAACCTGCACGTCTAAGAAAACCTAGCAAGTTCTCGAAAGACATGTGAAGTCCACCAACCCGCACTTAGCCAGCGCGGTGGACTATGGCCTGATCCCACTCGTAATGAAGGGAGGCCCATGCCCTGCAGTGGGACGTTAAAAAGGGCTGAATACAGTGTTGTGTGTGAGCGTACCTATGATCTTGCCGACGGAGTACTTGAGCCGCAGCGGCTGCGGCAGCAGGCCGGCGAGCGGCGAGTCGCCGTCGCCCGCCGCGCCGCCGTCCGCCGCCGCGCGCGCCGCCGGCCGCACCGGCATGCGCGGCTTGGGGCCACATCTGTGTGGACATCAAATGGACGTTGTTATGCATATGGATCCGATGGAGGACGTAGTTATATATACTAGTATGTACATCTCGCGGCAAGGATGAAACGTGTATGTCTCCCACTGCATAACACTATATTCCTTCGTCAACTTGTTTACGTCTTTTTAGTCAACTTTTATGCAGTTGGGTTTCTTATTTTTATAATATATTTATTTATTAGAATAACTGTCATAAATTGCGCCTACATATCAACTTATATACAGAAAGGAGATAAAATACCCAATATTTAAGTAGTAAATAAATACTCTAGTTCTCCTACATAGTATTTGAAAAATTGTACACGGCACTTGAAAGAATAATAACAAATGCGTAAACACAAGATATTCTACAAACAAGTATATTTAATATTTATACATATTAAATTAAAAATAATAACAATTAAAAATAATAATAATATGCTATAGACATATATTTTAAAACATTATAAAAATTTCAACTAGATTTCTTTTTTAGAAACCATGAGACAAGACCGTAAATGACACTACTTATGAAATTCATAATATATTAATTTAACTTACCTTGAATTCCTAGATATTGCATTACATTTACTTTTCCTACATTGTAAAACAGCCTTGCTTTCTTCAAATTCGAGTTCGAAGTCTTCTTGGTTGACTCTAAAAGAAAAATGAATTAATAAGAACACTAATTTAAGACATATAAATATTTTAAATATCAGCACAAGTACATATTTAATATTTTATTATATTTATTTTTGTAAATGTAAACAATTCAGAGAAATATGTTCCACAGACAAAATAGGCTATGCACATAATTCATTCTTTGGTAATATAAATAAAATTAGCATACCTTTCGTTTCCATAAGCAAAAAATACATCTTCCTCTTCAAAAAACTGGTGTAGAGCGGTCACTGGGGTGCCGGTCTGTGTGAACACCTTGCGTACACAGCCAGTGTCGAGCTTGATACATTCAGTGATAGCCGCCAACGCGTGTTCCAGAGTTGGGCTATTGCGCTTATTCAATAGCAATCTGCACACCTGGAATGTGATACACTTTCAGTTTGTGTAACTTATAATTACCTACTTGTTATGTTATGGTACAATAAGTTTATGATATTTTTATATAGCACAAATTATTTAAATTTATGAGTTAACGCTGGCAATATATTGGTATTACTTTAATCTTTTGTTGTTCCACTATCAATTCTGACTCCATCAACTATGATGGTATCAGCTTATTGTTGGTCAGTTAGGTTCCACATTTATATAAAGTTTAAAGTCATTAAGACAGCGAATAGTAGGTTAAAAATAATTAAGTACAAGTGAGGCTTATATCACTTTCTAATGAACCACTATATATATTATTGTTATTGTTCTTAGTCATTGCACAGTTTGATTTTCTTTCAATATTCATGTTACCATTTTTTTTATGTGACTTTTGGAGAAATAAAATATTTTCAAGACAAGGATATGCACACAAGCAAATGCTACTAAATGAATAAATATTAAAATATATCTAATTATAGTCTCCCTTGTCTTATAAGTACCAAGCGCTAACTAATTGCGCCACTGGAGCGATGGTCTATAGTCTTCCTTATATTAAATACATATAACTAAAAAACTATTTTGTCACAAACCAACATAGATCTCACATCTAGTAATTTATTTTTATACTGACATAATAAAATTATAAAATTCAATATAAATAATGGAAGAAATTTTACCTTGCGGGGTTTCACTCCATTCCTAATAATAGTAACTATACGTGGCCGGATTACATTATCACCTGCTGGGCTCACTCTTGGTGTCCCATTGCCTGTAGAGTTGCTACCATTTGTCTGTAAATGTCATATTTTATCAAAATTATTATTATTTTATTAAAAAATATAAATCATATGAACTTCTTTTTTTTTAATTCAAAATATGAAAGCAATATCATGATAAGGTAGCTAGAGGATTAGTTATATCAACACAGGATTATCATGATAAGTTAATACTTATTCTAATTGTCAAAAAAAATTATTAATAAAATAAAATAATATTTAATAATACATACAATAACAATAAATAATACACACAATAACAATTTACAAAAAAAACTTACTTGCAAATATCGGGACAACCTGTTGTTAGCTCTTGCTGGCGACGGACTAGCACTATCACTCAGTGACTCAGGACCACTAAGCCTAAATGATTGTGGAGTTACAGCACTAGCCTCATAGTCTAACCGTTTGAAAGCTTCTCCAACCCCACTGCATACATATGATTGACCATCTTCTAAATCATCCACTTTTCCTATCTGTTAAATGAAAAGGGCAAAAGTTTAAAAAATAATCAATTTTTACAGCATATATAATATTATTTTTATTAGGTAATTAAAATTATTAATACAATAATCTTATTTATAGGGATATCAAAAATTGTGTTAAGATATCTTTTACTTACTTTTCTACCTTCTAGAGAATATATTGTTCTAACACCACTGGGTAAAGTTACATTATCAACTAACACCCTAGTTAAGTCTGCAGTTAAACTATCAAAAGATCTGTAAAAAAAACTTCTATCAAGTTGCTTTACAAAAATATATCTCCTACTATGAGTCATGCATGTCTCAATCATATCTCTATTTAGTATCACACAATTTAAATTTATTAAACATGGGATGAAAGAAAATATATATTAATATACCATTAAAATGAATAATTTTAATTGTAATAAATATATTAACACAAGCTATTTAAACATTTTTAATGTTTATTTATACAGGAATTATTTAAAAAAAAAACAAAAGAACGTAGTATCTTTATTACATTACAGTTGATATAATAATATGATAGTAATGAAAATAACAATGTGCAAAACAAAAGAATCGAATTATGTGCAAATAGGAAAGTGAAAGTGAACTTAAAAATCTGTGAAATCAATATCTAATTGATAATTTTACCAACCTATATCGTTCTGGCAAGACTGGAATTATCACTCCTGAGTAAAATTTATCACCATTTCGAAAAAACCTGATTCTTTTAGCTTTTCGTGCTGGTTGTGACCGAGCCATTACGTTACGTCGATTCGTCCTAGATTTCATAATTTCCATATCGCTTAGGTCCTTTTCTAATTCACATACTGAGCTTGAGTGGCTCCCACTTCGGCTTAAATTGTTCTCCATTCTGTAATTTAAAGAAAGTTGCAAAAAACTTTATAAAGTTATAATTTCGATAACGGACAGACTAACATAATTCTGATTGGTCTCACATCTGTTCTTAACGCTGCTTAATATAAACTATTAAGTTTTATTTTATATGATAACAGTCATTACTTAATCGTATCTCATTTTAGAGAATCTATGTAGGTAAATTAGAAAATAAATGTTTAAAGAATTATTTAATTCAATACTGTATTTCATGAAACACGGAATCTGCGGAAATCAGCGCAGGTTATAGATACAAAATTTACCATAGATAAGTAATAACTATGAAATAAATATTGCTAATAACCCTTTCCTTGCAGTCGGGTCAAAAGATATTTGACAATTTTTATAGTACTTTTACAAGCTAGCGATAGAAGCATGAATAGTAAAAATAGACTATTAAGTCAAGTTTAAAAGCTAGCATTACTATTAAGGAATTGATTTGTATTAAAAGTCTCAATGTATAATATAGCTCTTATATATAATCTGATTTTCTATTTCTGTTGTATAGTGCAATGCAGAAACTGAAGTGCTGGGTATAAGTTCCTAGGTCTCGGGCCAAATTTAGTTCTAGTTTTTATGTCCAAAAATTCTCAGTAACAGCCCAGTTTTGGAAAGAGAGTGGTGTTTCATTCTCGTGCCATTAAATGCACTTGTATTTATGCACAAATTTATGTACTGTAATATCTCCTACACACATAGCTGGTCTCAGTGAGATTATGTACCGTTGCTGAAATCGGTCAGTTAGACATAATTTTTATCTCTGTCTATTCATTTGACTCTAATTCAAGTAAAACAAGTCCAAATTTTAGCAGGATTTTAAACTTCCATATTAAAATTAAATGCTTGAATGTGAATCCAAATTTTCTGATCCGAAACAACCATTAATAATCATATCTGTTTTGACTCGGGAATCTCTGGGACTATTGGAAACTTAAAACTCAAGATGTCCCTAATATGTTTAAGAGGAGAGGGAATTTTAACTTTGTAACATTTAAGTAATGGCCTCCCTCTCGTTTTAAAGAGAGACCCGTGTCTAACAGTGGGATGTTAAAAATGCTGAATACAACATGAAGTATACATGTTGCTTCGATATACAAATAATAGTTTAGTATAAATAAAATTCAAATTTTGGATTTTATAATATTTATTATAAAAGAATTAAAATTCTTGATAGTTAAATTGAATAAAGTATCATTTTCGTGTTTGTGTATAATTATATAAAAAGAGAAATAATACTTTCTTAGATTTACGCGAATGTTTGACATTATTAAATAAAACTATTATTTCGCGGATTTATTTTGATTTTTGGTTCCCGACGTTTCGAATGCTTTACAGCATCCATGGTCACGGGAGAGACTGAGGTGTTAGATGTCTTGAAGGTATAGTTGTTATAGACCTTAATAGAAATAAATCCGCGAAATAATCCAAAAAGATAGTTTTATTTAAAAGAGAAATAATAATATAATAAGAAAGAAAGAAATTTCTAGAAAGATTTCTTAATATAATATTATATTCTAGAGTATTGTTCTATTTCGGACTCAGTTTAAAGATTTAATTAAAATTACTACGATGCGACTATTGGATCACGTTTAACAGGATTATATTTTTTACCAATGGTAACATCACAAACAGGTGACGCATTTATCAATTTGGTTTAATGTCAAAAAGTACCTACAGACAAAGAGTGACTATTATTTTTATTTTTCGTCCTAATTGTATAAATTTTTGTGCATCATGTCTTCAAGGAAAAAGGTTCTTCTAAAAGTTATCATCCTTGGTGATAGTGGCGTTGGCAAAACATCCTTGATGAATCAGTTTGTCAACAAGAAATTTTCCAACCAGTATAAGGCAACAATAGGTGCTGATTTTCTCACGAAAGAGGTAATTGTCGACGATAGAATCGTCACGATGCAAATTTGGGATACAGCAGGACAAGAGCGATTCCAATCATTGGGGGTGGCGTTTTATCGTGGGGCGGATTGTTGCGTCTTAGTTTTTGACGTAACTGCCCCAAACACGTTCAAGTCCTTGGAGAGTTGGAGAGACGAATTTTTGATACAGGCTTCACCACGCGACCCTGAAAACTTTCCGTTTGTTATATTAGGTAATAAAGTGGATTTGGATAACCGTGCCGTGTCTGCAAAGCGTGCACAGCAGTGGTGTCAAAGTAAAAACGACATTCCTTATTTTGAAACAAGTGCCAAAGAAGCTGTGAATGTCGAACTTGCTTTTCAGACTATAGCTCGCAATGCCTTGGCGCAAGAAACTGAAGCCGAGCTGTACAATGAATTTCCTGATCAAATCAAGCTGAATGCCAATGACAATGGTCGCAACAGGGATGGAGATAACTGTGCTTGCTAGGTTTCACATCACTTTTAAACAATGGCAATATATTATAGTGTATCCTTATTTTATATATAAAAATATTACAATAGAGTATAACATTTATTTATAAGTAATAGTTACTATGATATTTGATCATATGTAAAAAACTGTATAGGTATGATAGATCTTTCACATTTGTTTTGGTGATTTTAATGCACTTGCATTGTTATAAGTTAGCACTTATATAAATATACTTGTCACTGTAATAGTCAAGTGTTGATCTGTATTGTATTACATAAACTATAAAGTACAATTGGATCTGTTTAAACGGAACAAAAGTTTTTATATGTAATTGAAACTTTATATTGTGAATTATAAAATATAATACATGTAAAGTTATTAGCTAAATTAGTTTGTGTGATACTATTTTATTTTACTAAGTAAACAGAACAGTTGACAACTGGATAATTATTATTTTGATTTCACTTATTATTTGTTATAATATCTATGAACTAACTGTAGTGTAATTCAATATTTCTGTTGGAAATAACTTTGTTATAACCCTAAAATAAGAGCTTTATGAGCTCAGTGATGTTAAACTGTATAAAATGATATAAAATGAGTTTGTTAAATGAAATAGGCTATTGTTATACAACCTTTTCGTTTCTGGCCCAGTTATTGTTTTTGATGTTAAGTAGTAGCTTACTTTTTTTAATAAAAAATAATCATCAGTCTTGTAGTAAACAAAAAGAATTTTATAAATTATGTATTTCCTGAGAACTTTTTTACTAGGTATTGTAATTATAAAAAGGGCTTCTTAGATTTATATTTCATAAAAAAATCTTATTCAAATATCTTATTATGCTTCCTAAAGTATAATTTCATACCAGGCCCCAATTTTTTTTATATTTTCAAACATGCAAAATTGAATAAAATAATTAAAAATCATGAATCTTTGAGAGTAAATTAACTGTTTCTTAAGCAAACATTAAATATTTCTGTATATATTTGAATTTTTTTATTGTTAGATATAAGTAGATAATGGTAAATACACGTGGTTAATTAAAAGTTACAGCATTTTGTAATGCACATTTAAATAAAAATGCTAAACATAGCATATTATATTATAATTTTAATGTTAACTCATCTCATGAAATTATAGTAGGATAATATATTATTTTTATGCATCATTGTTTGTTAATGTGAAACTAAAGCATATAATCATATTATGAGTATTGATAACCTAAGCATATAAAGAAAACTATATCTTCATTAATAGTTAATATTTCAAATTATTCCTAAATCCTATGCATTCAATCATAAGGTGGATTGTGCTTGTTTCTTACCATAAGCTAGCTGTATGATAAATAGCTGCAATTGTATTAATGCTCAGAAGTAATTCTTTATGGAGATGTGCTTCTCACATTTTATAATATTATAGACATGCTAAGTAAATTATGGCCTATTATTAAAAGGATGCCGTTTAAAAAAATAAGTTAAACATTTTAAATTAAAGCTTCTAACTTTCTGCCTTGTAATATTTCAAACATATTTATTTCTCTTTGGTTTTGGTAATTCGGTTTTTTTTTCAATTGTTATAAATAGCTAAAAATTAATGATAAATTTTAAGAACTAGGTAAAGATATGACATGCTGTAATAATGTTTGCTTTTAATTTTGTATTAATAAATAAAAATAAACACCAGTCTTGTTTAATATCAAACCTTTACTCAACATTGTGGTAATTAATTTTAACTTTTAGGGGATTTTTTAAAGTATTTACATGGTCTCGCGAAAATCTACGGACAGGTGTCTTCGACGTGTGGTGGACCTTTTTTTTTAAGTTGGAAAATGCATTTTTAGGCACGAGGTGTGGGACTCATAGGCAAAGCCTGTACTACCCACTAAAATCCAACGGAACCTAACAAGACCTCCCCCGTCTTAATGGGTCGTCGCAGGATCGCTTACGCATTCAACCACTATACCCCGACGGCAGGTCTGTCGAAGCAGACCACAACAACCATGGGGTTGCTCCGCAAGCTATAAGAGAAGTACCAGGAGCACACCACTTAGGTCGGCCGCCTCCCAGTGCGTTTCTTAGCTTGCGCCCGGCTGGATTGCCGGATATATGTAGCAATATACTCTATGATTGCCGGGGACTACTGAGCCCCACACCACGCCAAGGTGAACGAACGTTGCGGGGGCGTGTAGTGAATGAAAATTTGATTGAATCTGCTGCAGCTACACAGAAAGATCCATGGCTCCAATTTGAATGATAATGGAAATGAAGGCTTATATGTATTATGTAAGCCTTCATTCGATTGAGCGAGGCGTCAGCTTCAAGACTGGCAAAATTTGCTACTTTACTTATTACTTTATAGTTTTTTTTGTCATCGGTGATTTTTGATTGGATGGATTTTTTGGAGGAATTAAGTAGGTACTCCACCTACTTACCTTAATTTTTATTGGAGTAAAAATTAAGGATATACGTTCGAATATACTTCCGTGCCCATATTTCCGATTAATCTGAATTTTAGTATACATATGGATTTCAGCTCGCTGACAACCACTATGATGAAATACCCACTTTAATTTTCAAGGTCACATCTAAGAAAAATCGATTTTTATATTGTTTTCGCGTTTATTGCGATAAATATTTATTTTGCATAAAAAGTTTTCTACGAAAGTTGTGGGCCATAGAAACGTTATCTTTTTTGTGTAATATGTGCCTGCATTAGTAAATTATATCGAAACTAATGGAGTTAAACAAAATACTTATTCAAATTTTGGAGAACTTTCGCATTTTCTTCCCAAACTACTTAAACAGGCTTTGCACGAAAAACGTATTGAACAAAAAATGTCATTTTTTTATGGCCTATAACTTTTGTGGGAAACATTTTTCTGTAACATCAATATTTATCACAATAAACGCGAAAAACATTTAAAAGAAACGACTTTTTCTTAGATTTGACCTTGACAATAAAATTTGCGGATATTTTGATGAACATGAAATCCATATGTACTTTATCAAAATTCAGATTAATCGGGGTATGGGTTATTGGAAAGTACAACTATAACTAATTTGCAAAAAAAAACCGACTGCATAAAAAGCGAACTAAAAAGGTAAGAACGAGTTGATGAAGAAACATGGTAGGTAGTAGGTTCTATGCAGTCGGAGACATACGTAGCAAGACTCGCAGCTACATAAATGTCTCTGACTGCATAATACTATATTTCTTCATCGACTTATTCTCATCTTTTTAGTTCGCTTTTTATGCAGTTGGATTTTTTATTTTTGTTAAGAGTTTTTTTATTTAGCCCCATTGGTTTGGTGGTCTGCCTAGTATTTAGGCAGACCTGCCGCCGGGGCGCCGTAGTAGTTATGCGCAAGCGATCCTGCAGCGTTCCACTAAAGCGGGGGGAAGGGATGTCGGGTTTTAGTGGGTAGGATCGGCTCTTCTAGCCGGTGAGCCCCACATCACCACCTGGGGGATCAGGTGGTATGCGTAAATGCATTTCCCGATGATAAAAAAAAAAGGTTATCTTTAAGTTCCCCCCAACACCCCCCCACACAACGTGCGTTCACCTTGTCGTGGTGGGGGGGCTCAGTAGTGCCCGGCAATACAGCCGGGCGCGAAGCCAAGAAACGCACAGGGAGGTGGCCGGCTTCCGTGGGCGTTGGGAGGCGGCCCTCTTTGGAGGGCAGTGTACCATGCGGGTTGCTCCTGGTACTTCTCTGATAGCAGAGTGGACCTTGGAGCAACCCCGTGGTTGTTGTGGTCTGCTTCGGCAGTAGTCGTCGTAGTCATCGTAGTAGTCGTAGTTGAATGCGTAAGCGATCCTGCGACACCCCATTAAGACGGGGGAAGGTTTTGTTGGGTTTTAGTGGGTAGTGCTGGCTTCGCCGGTGAGTACCACACTTCGTGCGTAAATGCATTTCCCAACGTTAAAAAAAAGGTTATCTTTAAGTAACCCTCCAACGTGCGTTAACCTTGTCGTGGTGGGGGCTCAGTAGTGCCTGGCAATCCAGCCGGGCGCGGGAGGTTCCGTTAGGTTTTAGTGGGTATAGTACTGGCGTTGCCGATGAGACCCACACCTTGTGCCTAAATGCATTTCCCAACGTTAAAGAAAAGGTTACAGGTTAAGGTTAACAACTTTAAGTTGGTCTGTTAAAAAAATTGTTGAAGAACTGATGAGAATCTTCGCCAGAATAACTCCTCAATATGCAGTTTGTGCTCGCGAGGTCTACTGTTCGCAGAAGTACTAATTTTATTCATTTAAAATTAAAATTTACGTTGCAAAAAAGTTAATCGATCATTGGATGCCGGTACTGCCATCTAACATGGATTATTTCAATCTTGTTACTAAAAAAATGATGTATTTTAAATTAACAGCTAAAATGTGTGGCACCGTAGACATTCAGTATAACGTAGTACATAACGTATTCTGTATTCATACGTATGGCTATGGTATGGTATACCGTATACGTCTTCTCTCCAGTGTGCGCATGCGAGGCGGGGGAGGCGGGAGACGGGGCGAAGCTCCAACGTTTCAGCCGTCTCGTAGCTCGTTCAACTTCAGTCTCGCTTGTGACATGAAAGGGCGCGATTCTTCACACGCATCACGGTGCTCCGAGAAATGCATTACAATGAACAGCCTCCTGGGATTGCATGTAATGGTGAGTGTATATTGTTTTATATAATATATTCTTAATATGTTTTTACACATTAATAATATTATTTTGCTTTAAATTGTAACTATTACACTAGCGTAATACAGTATGTACATTATTGTATACCAATATTAAATTTCATTTGATCTTGCGAGATCAATGTTTTATTATCTTAAAAAAAATAAGTAGCTAATAATTTTTTTACTTCATTTTTTATAGTCAATGCACTTTTATTATTTTAATAAATCTAAAAGTACATAGGCATTAAAACATCATAATGATACCTAAAGCCTTCTTTCTTAAGCCTATATAAAACAACTAGCGGACCCGACAGACGTTGTCCTGTCTACACGTCTTTAATTTGAAAATTTCAAACTTTTTTTAATAATTTTTTTGATGAAAATTATTATTCAATATGTGAATCTAAACCCTTCCCAGATCCCCTTGAACACACACAAAAAATTTCATCAAAATCGGTCCAGTCGTTTGAGAGAAGTTCAGTGACATACACACTCACAGAAGAATTATATATATAAAGATTAGGTACAGTAAAATTTAAAAAAAAACAGTAAGTCCTTATTTTTTATTTATTATTCTGTTAAAATCATTTCACCTTTTGTCATTATGTGTTACTATTACATTTAGTAGTTATACAAACGTAGTTACATACTTTTTCAATGCATTTAATGTTCATCAGCATAAGTGCAGTGGGTTTATTTTATGAAGACTTATCATCATTAATTCTCTGTGTCCTCGTTGACCTTGCGCTATAGGTATGTTAAGGGACAATAATTAACACGAAGTTGTTTTAATGGCAATCAGTATGTCTTTTTGGTTTACCTTTTGAATTTATTGGATATTTCTATGTAATACATTTAATCATTAATATAAAAAAATACTTCGGATTTTGTCCAAATAAAAGCATTAATTGATTTAGTTATAATTAAATTTGTTTTTTTTTATTGTTTACGAGTATATTATTAATTATGCATATTGAAGATGCCTAGCTAGGCATATAGCTCTACATCATATTTATTGCGGCTTTTTATAGTCACTATATGTTTTTAGCGCGGCTATACAAGCGGATTTAAACCAAATTTAATTATTTAATTAGTGTAAATCACAAAAAGGACATTAATATTTCAAGAATAGCTGATCTATAGTTTGTACTAAGTTTCTTCTTGCGCTATCAAAAAATAAAATCTAACAAGTAGGTATCCTTAAAAATATTTTTTACCCGACTGCGGCGAAGCCCAAAAGACGGTTATGTGTTTGACCTGTATGTATATATGTATGTCCGATCCCATGTTCCCTCGTAATTAATAAACGGCTTAACCATTTTGATAATTGACACGTTGTTAGATTCGTCTTGATAACGCGAGTGTCATAGGTTATTATATAGATATTAGATATCATTAAAAATCAAAATAGCGGATCTTAGGCGCCAATTTGTCTTGAAAAAAAATATTTTTGTCCGAATCAATCGACTAGGGTATCAAAATACAGGTTTTTAAGAGCCGATTACAAATATATGTACAACTTAAATGTTTAAAAGTAACTTAGGATAAGAAACAGCGCTGGATTTACACTAGGGGCACTTAGGGTTAGTGTTCAGGTCGGCAAATTTTCAGGGGCGAAATTCGAAAGATAAATAAAAAAAATCGCGTTATCGAAAATGTTTTTATCGTTTTTATTTTCCAAAAAATTAATAATTAAAAAAATTAACTATTTTTTGCATTTATCTAAAGTTAAAAAATTGAACTTTATCGAAACTATCTATTTTATGCAAAATTTCGATAATGGGGAGGCATTTCTTACATAGCCTAGGGGCGGCGCTAAGGTTGAATCCGGCACTGATAAGAAATTGCTAAGAATAACTTCAAATGTTTAATTGGCCAAAACTAAAAAGCTGTAAATATTAAATATATTATAAAACTAACATTGCCCGCAGCTCCGCCCGCGTTCATATAACCAAAAGCCAAATTCTTAGGTTTTACATATTAGTATACTCTTACATTTCAGTTTTTGCATTTTTTCTCAGAAATGAGACATTTTCCCGCGGTAAAAAGTATCCTATATGTTGACCCGGATAACCAGCTATCACCATACCAAATTTCATCAAAATCCCTCCAGTGGTTTTTACGTGATGCTGTAACAGACAGACAAAAATTCTAAAAACTATAGATTCGGACTCTGTATCGATAATAATGACTATTTCAATTAGATTTTCCAAAAAATATTTAATGTACAGATTCAACTTAGTTACAATTTTATTATATGTATAGATTGTAATTTATAATTTAACTTTATAAAAAAAGATAATGAAATAATATTAGTCCCGCTGAGTTTCTATCGCCAGTTCTCAAACAACTGAGCTAGACAGGTTTAAGTATAATATGAACTTGTAACTGTCTTTTGTCCAGCGAGCATAAAAGATTTGACAAAATATCTTGCTTATTAAAGAAAACCGCCATCATTATTTTGCCAACAGATTTTCATTTTCGATTGAGTTGGTTGTTCCTCATCATCAAACACCCATATCTTGCTATGTAACTTAGTAGATACGTTGTAATAATCCAAGTTTCGTCGTCAGTCACAATCGAAACTATATAAATTTGCCATTGGATTTTTTTAACATAAAGCACCATTCCACACGAGGTTGCTATTGCTGCTCGTTTACCGTATGGGGTACCCAAAGCGTACAAAGCTTTTTTACATGTAAATGTTAAGTCACAATTTTGTGTAACGTAGTATACAGGAATGATCAAAAGCTCCTCTAAGTGTATGTTATATGCCTATCTTCTCGTATTGTTTTCTTCACACGAACTTCCCTTTCTAGCACTATCACTTCGATGGGTCTATCTGCTCGAGGACCATCGTCCAGTCCAACACCTCGCTTGAATTGCAGATACCGGCGTTCTATATAGTTTTTAAGATGGTGCTTCTTGACCAAAACACATACAGAATTACACGATAATCACGCTTTGTCAAAGACGCCATAATGAAATTATTAAAAAAATGTCACAATTAAGTTATTCTTCGTAGACTAAAAAAACAAACTGGTAATGTTTTGTTGATAATGACATCTTATAAATATAACTTTAGTTTTAACACTACCCTCAAAAATAAATAATACGATAAGACTTATTGAATAACCTAGGTATTTACTAGAACAAAGGAGAACTTCTCCTTGGCAGAATAAATTCAAGAAATCCCATAGGAGATTACACTTTAGTCAGATGCTTTACCTAATTAGGGCATGAGCAAATTAAACAATGATTTCCTTCTACTCATGTCATCTTGCTATCACTGATTTAAATTGAATGGAATGCGTTGTATATATCGTATTTAAACGATATGGTGGCAATAATATTTAAGTAATTTTAACGTTCAACTGTCAACTAGTAGCAGATCTTCCCTTAATGTGGGAAGGATTAGTCCAAAGTTAGCCCTTTTGGCCAAATGCTGATTAGCGGACTTGACATAACTATCTAGAACCTAGTCTAACTAGGTTTTCTTATACCTGCAGGCTTCTTTGTTGTATTATAAAGTCATGTTGGGAAAGAGATGTAGATGAAAATCTGATGTGAGTGAAAATGTAAACTGCAATTATTTCTGAAAACGTCTTATATTTAAAGCAGCATCTGACCTGATTCGTATTTATAGCATGAATATTTAAGATATAATTTAATGTTATAAATATTGAAAAATTATCACCTAGTTATTTTTAATGTTTACGTAATAGTTAACACAAAATGTTAAGTAGTTGATGAGTATCGTCTATATTTTGCAAAATGTTATCGAGCAATATTAATACTAATGTGAATAATGCTGTCCACTGTTGCGTATCGCATTTTGTCGATATACGATCGACTGTTACAATGTCATTTTATTGATTTGAAATCGACTCGTCGAAGTATGCGATGACTGTGTTATAAATTGGCTTCATTAAATAAAAAAGAGGTTACGTTTTTTTATTTATAACTGGCGACTTACCCAGTACCCTCACTTTGCTCGGGTGCGTAGGGCAGCTTGAATGGTTTAAGAGCGCATAGAGATCAATCGTAGGACTATTTATTTTTATTTTATATATGTATATACATATATAGAAGATAGAGGAGTATTTGTATGCTTTTGAAAATATTATTTGAAAAACATTCTTTATATTATAAGAAGAAAAAATATCTACATTATAACTGAAATTAGTGGATATTTAGTAGTTTTACAAATGTGGCACTATGAGGAAAGTGATTTAAACATAAAGGCATTATCGGCTTGCTACATATCTCCGACTGGTCAACTTTTGTAGATCAAACGAGACGATAGAATGCCACAGATGAGTGACATGCTATGAATAAAGTAGGCGCCAAATAGCTACCGTCTATTTTAATTAAGATATTTTATTAGCATTGTTGGCGCTACATAAATACTCGTACATCTACCGTTGAAGGACTTCTAAGTGTAATTAAATTACCTATTATCGGAAAAGTAATGAAGTTCCTAGGTAAAATTTTACACAAATCTTAATTAAAATATATAATGTGTACCTCAATGTAATTTATATCTTTTTGGGGATGTTCGATAAACGTTCGAATAAACTTTATTTACGTATATGTAATATCCGTTTTATAAAATGTATCTTCTAATAAGTTGAGTGCATTGCAGATAATAGTAAAAAGTTTATCCTAATCTCAAAACATTATTTTTTGGAGAAAATGTCTACCAAGTTTATGAATACATATTAATTTAGATAATATTTTAAAATTGGATGCATGCTTGAACAAATAAATTCAATGTCTATATGTCTATTCATTACACCTACTTGGTAGCGTCATTGTACAAGTAGATAATAATACAATTTATTAGTCATCTTAGCTAACTCAATAAATTACATTTTGATGTTTGATTAATATTCTCTTTAACATTATCAGATACCGCGATCTGATCCACGTAAATTTAAGGAAATAAAAGATAATAATTTAAATGCAATAGGAAATCTCCGAACA